ACACAAAGTTCAGAGTCAGGTGATGGTAATCAATGAACAAAATCAGACACGGGCGCAGCCTATGAGGTGGCAGCAATTGAAAGGGGTGCAGGGTACCGGAACGTTCTATTTCTTGACCCGACTGGGGTGCTTACATGCGTGTGTTCCCTTTGTGACAATTCATCAGTATATATGTCTAATCTTCTTTTAAGTACGTGACACTTAAGTTTAGAAGTTCATTTTAAAAACAAAACCCCTCCTCCCTGCCTCTCCTCTGCGCTCCCTGGCTGGGGATCAGTTCTTTCTCCGGCAAGCCCCTGGCCCTCTGTACACATCTCCACCAGGGCATTCCAACTGTGTTATTCCACAAAGCTGCTGAAGGCCTTCTGGGCCACCCCATGCACTTCCCCACACTGTTGCATTTAGTTACGGCCACCCATGAGATGAGGTGCAGTGGCACTCGCACCCCTAAATGACCTGGAGTCCACACCTTTGAAGTCTAGTCTGAGATCTTTACATGCACACCTCATTTGATCCTGGGACCACCGCCTGAGGAGACAGAGGCAGGGGCTCAGGGTCCTGCCCAAGGACACATACAGCTAAGATGCCGTCAAGTCCACTCCTGCATGACACATGAGACAGCCTTCCAAGGTAAGGAGGAACACTGGCTATACCTGCAGAGGCCATTTCTACACCTAGGGGGAAAATCAGACCTACAGTGCAGAGGGGTGGGTAAGCCAGGTGGGAACTTGCTCTTTCAGCGGTCAAGCATGGACACCACCAAATTCAGCCTCTCCTCCTGCAGGAAGCACCACTGAGGCTCGCAGGCTAGACCAGGGCTCCCCAGGATTCCCATAGCCCTGGGCCTCTCCATCAGCACTGTGTTGTTTCTGTCCTTTACCGGCCAGTCCCTGGCACTAGAATAAGGATTAGGCCTTTTAGGCTATAATCACAGCTACACCCAGGAGGCTGAGGCAGAAGTATCACAAGTTGAAGGCCAGCATGGGCAACTCAGTGAGACCCTGCCTCAAAATTAAAAAAGGGCTGGGGGTCTGGCTCGGTGGTAGAGCTCTGGCCTCACATGCATAAGGGCATGGTTCAATCCAGCACTGGGGTGGAAAGATTAGCCCTTTTATTTCTGCACCTCCTGTACCTGGAAAGAGCACGACACACAGAAGGGGTTCAACCTATGTGGAAGGAAGGAAGGAAGAATGGGAGGGAGAGAGGGGGCAGAAAGGACAGAATAGAACCACCATCTAGATCAACGGTGAACTCCATCAAATGAGATCTGAGCGAGGAAGAGTCCACGTCCTGGCTGGACTCCAGCTGTAACCCTTGACTTGGGGGTGGCATGGCTATGCCACCTTCCATTCTGGGGCTCCTCCCCTGGCTGCCTCCAGCCTTCTCTCCAGGTTCCCACCAGACATTGGGTCCCTGAAGCTCTGTTCAGCCCTTTTTCTGCCCAACCATGTCCCCTTCCCTGGGCCACCTGCCCTGAATGCCTGAAGGTAACGAACCCCACCAAGGTAACAGGACAGCTCAGGGAGCCCTGCCCTGTGCGGAAAGCGTGCCTTGGCTAGCCCCACCGAACTTACTGTGTGCCCCACCTTTCTAAGTTGGGAACTGCAGGGCATTCTCTGGCAGTAGCCTGGGCCAGGGTGCCAGGTGCAGGCAAGCTGACCCATGGCAGGCAGGAAGATGGCTGGGAGAAGCCCTGGGCCACCTGGAGCAGAGGGCACACCTGGCAGCGCCCCACACATCTGCAGGGATGACCTAGGCCTAGGAGGAAGAGGGCACCCTGGAACCCTCTCCTCTCTCCTGGGTGCCTGGAAGCTCTGATCTCCCAAGTGGCTCATGGCTCACCTTGGAGACCAAATGGGAAGCGGCTTTCAGGGTCCCCAGGGACCCTGTGGCCACTGGCACCCTACTACTGAATGCCTGGGTACAGCTGGTTGTGCAGGCGAAGGCGGCTCCCTGGGGTTGCGCCCAGCTGGCCTGCTGTGAGCGGCTCTGGCCTCTCCAGGCTTAGGGGGCTGAGCCGTGAGCGGCCTTGTTTATCCCTGGGAGGAATGATGGTTTTCCCTGAGCAATGACATCTTGGAAACAGCCTGGCTCCACAAACAACAACAAACCTCCCGCCAGGCTGCAGTTTGCATGAGAAGGCTTCTGCCCAGAGGCGCCTGAATGTAAGGTTATAGAGGCTGCTTCCCTGCTGAGCCAGACCCTGGCCTTGACCCTGACTCCTGGAACCCAGGAAGAGGAGGTGTCTGCAGAAAAGCAAAGAATCAGATGGCTGGAAGAGGCCTGGCAATACCTGATCCATGCCCTGCTTGTTCCAAAGGGGAAACAAAGCCCCCAGAAGAGGCACATTTGCTGAACGGACACTGAAAGATGCCCTGGTCTCCTGGGATTTCTCCATCACATACATTGTTTTCCCAGAGAACAGCAGGACTATTATCAGAAAGTCTAAGGGTCTGAAAAAGAAGGTGCCACCAGGAAGTCCAAAGATGGAGAGCCACAAGATGAAACCCAGGCACCCTGAGACACCCGGCTGGGGCAGTGGAGAAGGATGCAGGCTGGGCAGCCAGGGTCCTGGCTTCTGGTCCCTCTTCACAGTGGAGTCCTGTGTTACCTTACACAAGCCTTTCCTTTGCTGCTCGCTCCTTTCTTTATCCATCCAGAAGGCAAACAGACTCCGCCATCTCTAGAATCTTGGAGACCAAATGGGAAGTGGCTCTCAGGGTCCCCATGCTGGGCATGGGTACACCCTCCCCAACTGCATCTGCTGGGAGAGTCAGGCAGATGGCTGAGAACCAGTCCCCCAGATCCAGCCTTATTGGCACCATCTCAAGGGAGTCCAGGGAGCTAAGTGCTAACCATGTACAGACTGTGCAAAGGACCATGGGCATTGTATGCACATCAGCCAGGGCTGCGCGCTCCACCTTCTGTGACTCAGGCTAAGGTGTGGACACCACCTAGCCCAGCATGACCCCTGAGTTGGCTGTCCCTAGGATCTCAGCCAAGCTGAAGTCAGAATTCTCCCAGACTCACCTCCCATCAAACCCAGCCCCTAACCCCTTGGCTCTATGGATACAACCCCAACCTGTAGAGACTAGGGTCCTCCTAAACGGCCCTCTAGCTGGCAGTGCCCACTCTCTCGCCAAAGAACCAGGGTATGCCCACCCGCCCTCGTTAGCCAGGGCACTTCAACACCCGCTCCAAATATGCCCTAGGAGCAGGCCAGGTTCTTGGGTGACTAAGGGGAGAATAAGGCCCATATCCTGCATAAATAGGACACAAAGCAGCCACCGGCAATGCTACCACTAATGGACCGACTGATTCACTCTAGTTGTGAAAGTTGGGTAGGATTAGGACCTGGAGGGAAGGAAAGAGAGGTGCTTTCCAGACAGATAGAATTGCACCCACAAATGCTAGGAAGCAAAGCAAGAAAGAATTGCACCCACAAATGCTGGGAAGTGGTGCTTTCGTTGTTACTGAGTGTTGGACAACAGAAGCCACATGGAAGGATCTGGCTCAAAGCCCTCGTGGGTGGCCAGTGCCTCCATCCTCACCACTGCCTGCTTCTCAGATGCCCGGCTGGACCCAAGCGAGCCCTGCTGCGGAGTTTGGCTCCCGGGAGGACCCGCCCTGGGCTAAGCCATGCCACGTGCTAGGGCTAGGGAAGAGGGGAGGTGTCCTTTGGCTGGGCACAGAGGACTCAAGGGGCCCTGGTGGAAAGTTTGACTCTGGCTGCAGTGCGCTGGCAGGGATCCCGTAGGCACCAGGGGGCAAGCCTCTGCAGTGCCTTCCTTCCAGAGATGCACCCACTCCAGCAGTCCTGAGAGGAGCCAGGAGCCCCCTGGCCACAAGTCTGAGGGCATCATGGTGAGAAAAGTTTGCAAGAGTGGCCTGAAGGTCTGGTCTCCCTGCACCAAGCCAAGCATCTCAAGCCAGGGGTGCCAGTGGCTTTCCACATGTCCTGTCCCCGCTCCTCTAGGAGGCAGAGGTCCTCCATCCTGGTCTTGGTTCAGCCATAGACCTACTGTCTGAACTTGAACAAGGCTCTCTCCTCTCCAGGTCTGGATTCTCCCTCCTGCCCTGGGCAAAAGGTTCAAGCGTTTTTCCTAGACACCTTGGGACAAGGGTAGACATGTGGACCCTTCAAGTTGAGGAAAGAATTGGTGTCTGCCGCTTGGCAGTAGCTGGCTCTGTGGGGTGCATGCATCTCTAACCACTACCCTCTTCCTTATGGGTCTCAGTTGGAGCCAAGAGAGCAGGTGCAAGCCCTTCCCCAGGGGGTTTGAGCTCAGGAAGCAGAGCAAGCCTGCTTGTGTTTTCAAAGGTCATTTCTGCAAAAAGCCAGTCTCAGGGATCAGACTTGAGACCAGCCCTGGAGACCCCCTTTTTCCCTGCCAGAGGAACCAGGCAGCGCTGCCATCGCCAGAGCCTGGTGTGCGGCCAACGACCCTGACACAATAGCCAACACTGCTGGCCGAGCGCTCCCTCCCCATGCAGTGTCCTGACTTCTCGGTCACCAAACATTCCTCTTCTCTCCCAGAAAGAAAAACTGGCGGACTAGCCCAGAAGTGGGGAGCAGCCAACAGTGGAAGCATGCCCCCTAACCCTGCAGGACCCCCGTACACACACACACACACACACACACACACACACACACACGGCTACCTCAGAACAGAACCGGTCGCAACATGCTTATCAATGGCTGCCCTGGGGAAGAAACAATAGAAACAAGGGCAGGGGCTGGCTTGGACAGGGGCCCCCCCGCCCACCAGCACACCCCTGTCACCAAGGCACCTACCCAGCACACTCCAGCAGGGACCCAGGCGACTCTGGGCTGCCGCTCCTGCCAGCCCGCCCGCCCGGGTCTGTACCCGGCTCCTCCCGCGAGCGGGCGGCGGTGGCAGTGGCAGCTCCGGGCGGGCGGGCAGGCGGGCAGCCGTGTCAAGCGGCTGCCTTCCCCAGACAGAGCGCCTTTGTGTCAGCAGAGCTATTTATGGACTTACCCAAGTTCCCCAGGGGAGCGGTACCTGCTGGGAAAAGCAGAACCAAATGACCAGGTTCCACCTCCCACATCTAGGTAGCGTTTTTTTTTTCAAAACCCTTGCTTGCATCACCCGTCCCTCCCCCCACCACCACTCCTCCTCCTCCTCCTCCAAGCGCCCTTCCCAAACACACCCTGTCCAGCCGGCCGCTGCCACTCTGGAGAGAGGCTGGATTTCCTTCTTCCATCAAACAGAAAACTCTGTGATTTCCCAGCCACTTTCACCCGAGGAGGAGTCCGGGATGTCTCAAAGGAAGACAGTCCTCAGCCAGCCCGTCCTTCAGCCTGCCAGGGGCTCCTTGCCTACACGCTCGCATTCGCCATCGCGGGCCCTGGGACCCCTGCCACCAGCCCCCCAGGGCCCAAGCTGGCCCCCGGAGTGCTGCTCTGGAGAGAGAGGCGTCCATGCCTCCTGGCGGCAGCCCCTGGCCCTGGGATCCCGAGTGGGCTCCACCCCACGCACATCCTGAGGGCTCCCGGTCTGGGGCAGCGCAAAGCCTCCGCTGCTGCTCCCTGGCAGGTCCAAGCCAATCAACGAGGAGGCTGCACTGTCACACCCCCACCCCTTGCGGATGGTCCCAGCGGGTGGTTGCGATTGAACCTGGGTCTCCCGGCCAGCCCAGCTGACCCTGAGAATGCAGTTGCCCTGGAGGGTCAGGAAGTGGTGGCTCTGATCACCTCCAGGCAGCACCCTCCAGCACAGCTGGACACGTGTTTGATTGGGCACTTTTTTGTGTGCCTAACTCCAGGGAATCCAAGATAAGAGCTGGAGGCTTCCAGGCATAATGACTGAGAGGGGCCCGGGAGACATCTCTAACAGGAAGGTGGGGATGGTGGAAAGGGCACTGACCTGGAGGCAGGGCCCCTGCTCTAGTTCCAGCTCCAGGACCAGCTGACAGGGTCTCACTGTGCAAATTGCTGCCCCTCTCTGAGCCTTGGTTTCCTCATCTGTAAAACAGGACTGATGCCCCTGGGCCTGCCCACCATGGGATTAAAGGACGGCTCAGTGAGTGAGGGCAGCTTGGCTTCCCAGGGCATGGCTCCTGCATCAAGGCTGTTAAAGAGCTGGATCATCACTGGCACCTTCTGCTGAGGGGACGATGATTACCCTCTTGACAGATGAGAATCCAAGGTACAGGCGGGCAGAGGGAGTTCCCCAGGGTCAACCAGCAAGGTGGCTGTGAGGCCAGGATTGAAGGCCAGTTGGTCCATCTCCAGGGTGTCCACTTTTCACCATGACGCTGCCCTGCTCCTGCGAGAAGTGGCTTTGGGAATACAAAGCCATTCTCTGACGCTGTGGCTGTGACTGCTGCACTGTGTCATCTGACATTGACAAGTGCTCCCTGGGCTATGCCTACACCATCCCATGGCCACTCCACCTGCGTGGAAGGCGCCTGGGATTCAACACAGGAACAACTGGGCACAAGAAGCCCCACCCTCCTGTCCTCACACCCCCACCCCCAGCCACAGCAGGCTGAAGTGCTGTCCCCCGGCCTCCCACTCTCCCTGTAGTCGTCTCAGTGCCTCTGCCCATGTCTCTGCCTGCCCCCCCCCCCGCCGGCCCCGGTTTCTCTCTCTGCTTTTGGGTTCCTGTCTTGCTCACAGTCATGAGCACACACATGCATGCACTGTAAGAGAACTTCCTTTACCAGGGTCCACGACACAGAACGGCCCTCACCTGAGTGAGTCACTTATGAACTCCAACCAGTGTTCGTCTTGTTCCTGGGGGCGACGCCAAGCAGTCCTTGCAGGGGCCTTGAAGCTGCCATCCTGCAGGCTCCTGAGAAGCAGGACCCACCCGTGGCCTGGGAAACCACGGAGGTGAGTCTCAGGAGGTACCAACTCTAATGGGGCTGAGTAATTCCCAGGGCGGCGGGTTCTCAGGACGAAATTCCTGGTGCCTTGGATGAGAATCTCGGGTGGAGAGGCTGGGGCAGGGGCAGGGAGCCACTGACAGCTGGAGGGCCTTGGAGACCTTCCGCTCCTCATATCCACACACAGCCAGTGAAATGGAGGTGCAGAGAGGGTAAGTGATTTTCCCAAGGAAACAGAGCAAGCTGGTGGCAAGGCCGGGAGCAGGGACTGGACGACTCCCTGTCCAGCGCTCCTCCTACTTCTCAGCTCTAGGTAAACGATGGTGCTGCTCAGTGCAGGAGAGATGGGGACCCAGGGAGTGGCAATATCCTTCTGGCCACAGGCCACAGGGTCAGCACCTGGGCGCACAGGGCCCGGGCCCCATTTGTTGACCCGTGTATTTAACACTTAGCACTCCATGTCAGCCCTCTTTCAAAGCATGGGCCTTGCGTTTCCTGATGGCGGGTGCTATGTATTGGGGACACATGCCACAAATGATGGGGGTGGTGTAAGAAAGAGCAAGTCTCCTCAAGTTCAAGTTCACAAGGAGCTCTGGCTTGTAGCCTGCAGATTCCAGGTTAAGTCCCTTCCCCATCCTGGTTTCTGTGCTCCATTTATAAAATGAGAGCTCGGGATGGAGCTCAGTAGTAGAGCACTTGCCTAGCATGCACGAGGCCCTGGGTTTGATTTCTAGCACTGCAAATGGGGGGGGGGGAAAGGAGATCCCATCTCTAAAATGAGGCCAGGGCCCAGGGACCTCATCCCCCTCTCTCCCTTGTGTGGTCAGTCTCACGCCCCCTCTAAACTCTCATGCTGAAGGAGTTGGCTCAATACCACCATTTCCAGTGGTATTTAGAAAGAGCATAGTCTTTGGGGGGGGGTCCAAAAACTTTGGATGTGAATTAATAATCGACGAGTCACTTAAATGTGTTTGAGTCTCAGTTTCCTCACCTTAAAATAGGGTTATTACCATCTGCCTGACTGGACCCTGTTGGGGGACCCAAAGAGGTAGCACATTAGATTGCCTGGCACACAGTAAGTGCTCAATAAATAGAAGCCATCAAGGCTGCTGTTGTTGCCTATCATCGTGCCCATCTCATAGATCAAGAAACTAAGGTACAGAAGTCACATGGCAAAGCACCGGCACACCAGGCAGGAAGGCTCCGAGGCCCGAGCTCTGAACTGCAAGTTCTGCCCCCAACCTCGTGTTTCCTAAATGTCTCCCCTGTTGCCATGGGCAATTCCCCAGCAACCTCAGACAGCAAAGGACAACCCCACCTGCTCCCCGGGTCTGCAGCCCCCAGCCGCAGCAAGGAGAGAGAGGCCCACATGTGGCAATCATGAGGCCCTGTGGAGCTGGCCCTGAGGATTGCCACTGGCTGGCTTCTGCCTCCAGCCTGGAGACACTTTGCCATCACCTCAGCAGTACCAGCCTGACCTTGGGTGGCTGCAGCAGCACAGGATGGCCAGGAGCCATGACCATCTCCCTTCCTGGCTCCAGCCCAATTGGCCACATGCTAACCTGAGATTTCAAGCTTTCAGGAGCAATCCTCGACCCGTCGCCCTCATGCCAGCTGCAGGGCCATGCTGTGCCCTGACAGCCTGAGTTCCTGGGGAGTGTTCAGCCCCTGACTCAGCTCTGGGGAGACCAGCCCTGTAGCCTTGGCTGCTAGGATCTGTTCATCCACGCGCTATCCTGGGTCCACCCACTGCTCGGACCACTGGGCTGGAGCCAGGTCCTCCAAATAAAAGGTCAGTGGGAGAGAGACTAGACCGAAACGCCAACTTTGCTGCTGCCTTCTGCGAATTCTGGAGCAAGGCCAACCCTTTCTATGAACCCCAGTTTCCCCGTCTCTAAGACGTGCACAGGGTTTGGACTTGGTCTGTCCGTTCAAAGTGTGGCCTATGGAACGTGAGCAGTTTATCACTGGTGTGCAATGTAGTAAGCAGCCAGACTGAGAGCATTTAGGAACTTCCATGGCAACTTGACATTGCCACATGGAAGCATGAGGTCAGCAACAAGTTCCCTGGAATAGGGTGCAGGCCGGCGCCCTGTTATCAAAGCCACATAACAAACCATAGCCCCTCCCCCCAGTGGCTGAAGAGGCTCTGATTGCAGTGTGGTTGAAGAGTGTCCCCGGGCTATAAGAACCCACTAACTGGGACCCTGTCATGCTTCTTACCCTGCAGTGGGACTCACAGTCACTGTAACTGTCCCCCCTCCACTGCTCCCAGCTCAGAGTGGCACTGTCCCTCACCTACCTCAGCCAGACTGCATCCATCCAGTGTCATCCATCTCCCAAAAACCCTCCAGCCATGAGTCACCAGATCTTGCAGATCTCACCTCCTGTACATCACGTGAATCTTTCCTCTCTCTCAATCCCTGGGGCCTCCAGCCCTGGTCGAGGCCACCATCATCTCTCCCGAGTAGAGCACACCTTCCACACCCTCCTCCAGGAGGCCACTGTGCACAGTCTACACCGCAGATGCAGCGCCAGGAGCTCCCACTGCCCTCAAGACCAAGTTCAGACTCCTTGCCGCGACTTCTCAGGCCCTCCCTGCACCGTCGGCCCCGAGCTCTCTTCCAGCCTCATCTCAAGCTTCAGCCACCTCCCCCGTTCCTCCCCCTGGTCTGGCCTGCTTCAGGGGACAATCCTTATTACGACCCTCAGAAACTCTCGTAATATCCTGTCCAGATCCTCCCAACGGAATGGTCCGATGTTCTCACTGGACCATTTTCTTATCTGTCGTTGACGGGTTCCACATTGTTCATAGTTAGTGACGTCTGTCTCTCCTCCCGCTGTCCTTCCACCACACTGGACTGTTAGCTCTATGGAGATGAGGACAGAGCTGGCTGATGAAGCAAAGGGAGGAGGACATCTGAGTTTGTGCCTGACCAGCCTCCGTTCACCCTCTTTGCCCTCCAAGGGACGACACTTCCCTCCCACATTCTCAAATCGGATGACTCGTATGGAATGGACCCATCTCATACTCCAGAGGTGGGCATGTGACCCAAGCAGGCCTCAGCCAATTAGTTATCCCATCCTGTTGTCCCTGGTGACTGGGACGGTGACATGATCCAACTCGGGTCCATGGGACTCAGGCCCAGGGGCTACCATTGAAATGGTGGATGGGATCCAACCACAAGGCTATGACCCTGTACTTCTATCAGCTCCACTGCCACCACCGAGGATTGAGCAATGCTAAGGAAGAAGAACCAAGACATGGAAAAGTGAGGCCCGTTCTAGGTCAAGGTCCCGAATCCAGGGATGCATGGAGGTGACCCTCCGTAACCCAGTGAGTGCTGCTTATTGGCTGAAGCTAATCTGAGTTGGGTTTTTGTCACTTGCAACTGGCAAATTCCTGACTAATATCTCACTAGTGCTAAGTACATTCGACACTCCAGGTGTGTTGGCTCATTCATGAAGTCACACCCAGCCACACTCAGCAGGAAGAAGATGACTAAGTTTGCTCAATAGAAAGAGTCATCTGGCGGCTGTTTAGAGAGGTGACTAAAGGGACAGGAAGAGGCAGAGGGAGATCCACCAGGAGACCATGTGACAGACATGAGGCCTGGAGAGAGTGGCTGAGACAGAAGGAACGGAAGAGAGCAGAAGATGCCCTGGAGAATCCTTAACAGCCCCTGCCTCTCTCGGGCCTCAGTCTCCCAGTACAGTATCTCAGTCCGTCATTCTAGAACGCCCACGTGTTGGGCAGATTACATATTATAGCAAAAGGAAAGCACACTCCACCAATGTTAGGTGCCATTATTATTACTATGGTCAGTATTAGGAATTTCAAAAAGAGGAAATGGAACACATAGTCCATAAACAATGCCAAAAATCAATAGAAATTTTCCTTGAGCTAAGAGAAGACTCGGGTCTGCTGACAGAGGGCTTACCCTGTCAGTACCCAAGGAGAACAAGCAACTAGAAATAATCTGGTGGAATTTCCAAATATCAATGATTCAAAAAAGAAATCTTGTCTGTTTCCATAAAGAAAATTTAAGAGACTCAAATAAACAGTGTGATTCTTACAGCACTAAAACTCAGAGACCACAGAGGACAGCTGCTAGGTTTGCAGGGAGAAGGACTATTAGCCTAGAACTCTTTCCTCAGGCAAACTACGGCTCAAGCACAAGGGCAAACATCTTCAGATCTCCAAGAACTTAGACAGCACACCACCTCAGCCCCTTTCTGGAAAAAATTACTCAGGAAAGCTCTCGGATACCAGGAAATCGAAGCCCAAAAGTCAAGTGAGACACGATGCGGTGGGAGAGAGAGAGAGCAAGCCACCAAGGCAGAACTTTTATAGGTTCAACTACCGATAACAGAGAGTTAAAGGCAATTTTCAATAAATGATTATTCAAACACAATGTCACTAACATTTTAAAATAGTGACCATGGGTAACAATAAAACTGAAATTCCAGATGATCTCAACACTATCTAGGAGGTACAGAGAAAAGGGAAGACAAGTACCGGCCAACCGACAGGGTTCGATGTGGGTTGTAGGAGGTGAGGACGGACCATGGTAGCTCTGCTGAAATGCTTGAGGTTGAAATATGTGTGGGGAAGAGGAAAAAGGAAAAGCATCAGCTGCCTAGAGCTGGGATGTATAACTTCAAAGGGGAATTTGCTGGAGAAAATGCAGGCTGGCCCTGAGGTGCTTAATACCACTAGAGCAGCAGGAAGCAAGAGCCAGGGAGTTTGAGGCCAGGGCCAACGTGGAGCTGTGAGGGGCACAGGAGAGTTCAAAACACCACCCACCTCTGGGGGAAAATTTGGTCCATGATAAATGAAAAAAAAAAAGGAAGAACAGTTAAAAAATATAGGGTTGGAAAAACTGATCAACTGTTTGGGGGGGAAAAATAATAAGAGTTAATCCATCTGACACCAGGCACTAAATTAACTGTAAATGGATTATAAACACAAACGTAAAAATTAAAAGGACAAAGGGTAAAAATACTAAAATAAAATATTCCTCACGATCTCAGGGTAGTAAAGGCCTTAGTAAGTACCAGCCACCACCCCCCAAAAATATTGATAACAAATTGATTATTCAAATTGATTATCAAAAAGATTAATATTTGAATAATAAATGATACTACAAATTAGGGTAAAAGGCAAACAACAAGCTGGAAAAGTATTTACGTCCTATAATAAGCAAAGGTTTACTATTCTGATCACGTAAAAGCTCTTACAAATAAGAAAACCGGGTCAGTGATATGAACTGGAAAAGTATTTACGTCCTATAATAAGCAAAGGTTTACTATTCTGATCACGTAAAAGCTCTTACAAATAAGAAAACCGGGTCAGTGATATGAACTGGCAAGCCAAAGAAGAAATATAGATAACTAATAGGCATAAAAAGAAGCCCAACCTTGTTAGTAATCAAACAAATGCAAATCAATATGGAAGGTGATTTTTCACTTCTCAAGCCAACAGAGCCCAAAGAATAGCATCCAGGGTTGGGTAAGGGATAGGGAAACAGGTGCTCTCGTTCTGTTAGTAGGGATGCAAATTGCACATGCATTTCACCACTGTGTTCCTTTGTTTTCTTATCTATAAAATGGGAATAATAATAGTGCTGGGCAGATTTACATGTGTAGACAGAAGGAAAGCAATTTTAGAGGACTTTGGTAGCGTGGGTCACACTCTACCCTAAAGTGCAAGATGGAATAGAACAGTCCTTGCATGCTCATTGCAACATTGCTCCAAATATCAAAGCATCAGAAACAACCTAATTGTGCATCAATAAATAAACCATGATCCTTTGGCTACTAAAAATAAAGATGGAGAACTTTTAAGTACCAATGTAAAAGATTTCTACAACATAGTAAGTTTTTATATTTGAGTTTTTATATTTGTGTGTAATACAATATTATTTAGTAAAATAATATGTGCATGGAAAAAGATTTGGAAGAACCATGTCAATCATTAGTGGCTATTGGTGGGGAAAGGGCTGGAAGAATGAGGGGGGAGGGATCTTGATTTTATTCAGTTCAGTTAAATTTAGATTTATGTTTGTGGGTGTATGGTGCTAGGGCTCAAACCCAGGTCTTCACCCGTGCTAGGAGCTATGGTTTGGATGAGGTGTCCCCCAAAAGATCATGTGTGAGACAATCCAGGAATATTCAGAGGTGGAATGACTGAATTGTGAGAGTTGTAACCTAATCAGTGGATTAATCCACTGATATGGATTAGCTGGGTGATAACTGTAGGTAGTTGGGGAGTAGCTGGAGGAGGAGGGTCACTGGGGGGGTGCATGCCTTTGGAGTTTATATTTTGACCCCAGGAGAATGGCTGTCATGTCCTGAACTGCTTACTCCACCATACCCTTCCACCATGAAGTTCTGTTTCATCTTGGGCCCAGAGCTATGGAGTTGGCCAGTCATGGACTCAACTTCTGAAACGATGAGCCCAAATAAGCTTTTCTGGGCTGGGGATGTGGCTCAAGCGGTAGCACGCTCGCCTGGCATGCGTGCGGCCTGGGTTCGATCCTCAGCACCACATACAAACAAAGATGTTGTGTCCGCTGAAAACTAAAAAATAAATATTAAAATTTTCTCTCTCTCTCTCTCTCTCTCTTAAAAAAAAAAAGTTTGCACTGTCTATACTCTTCTCCCCCAACTTAAAAAAAAAAAAAAAAACAAATAAGCTTTTCCTCCTCTAAATTGTTCTCAAGTCTTTTGGTCACAGCAATGAAACAGCTGCCAAAACACCAGGCCAGCATTCTATTGCTGAATTACACTCACAGTCCAAGATTCTGTTTCTGTTCTGTCTTTGAGGCAGGGTCTTGTTATGTTGCAGGACTGGCTTTGAACTTGCAATCCTCCTAGTTCAACCTCCTGAGTAGCTGGGATGACAAGCGTGCATCACCCATACCTGACTTCCAGCCCAAGTTTGTGTAATTTTTATACAAGTTTTGTAGAAGCATGTTTCAGTTAAAGCACATATATGATGTTAAATAAATAAATATTCCTATTGACAATATAAATAAAAATCTATGTTCCTCACAATAGAAAACAAAAAATGTGCAAGTCACACATGAATTTTGTTTTCAAAACTTTGCCTGGGAAATATTTTTAAAGATTTGCATAAATGAAGAGATATGATCCTATTCCCAAATGAGAACATGCTATTGTAATGATTTTAGTGCTCCCATTTTTATAAATTTTAAAGTATACTGACAATAGGAATCTCAAAGAGATTTAAAACCGCAATGAGACACTACTTCAAACCCACTAGGATGGCTATATTTTTTTAAAAAATGGAAAAGTAAAACTGTTGGCAATAATGTGAAGAAATTAGAATCCTCATACATTGATAGTAGAAAGTAAAACTGCACCATCTTTTGGGAACAGTCTAATGGTTCCTCAAAAAGTTAGGCACTTGACCCAGAAATTCCACTCCTAAATATGCGCCTAATAGTCAAAAGGTAGAAACAACCCTAATGTCCATCAACAGTTAAACAATACATGGTACAGCCATATGATGGAATGATATTCAGCCACAAAAAGAAATTAGGGATTGATACAGACTACGGCATGGAAGAATGGGGGATCATTATGCTAAATAAAATAAAGAAGCTATTCGCAAAAGACCAAACACATGATTCCATTTATATGAAATGTCCAATATAGGCAGATCTATAGAGAAAGAAAGCGGATTAGTGATTGTTAGGATGGGAGGAGATGGGGGGAATTCATGGGTGACAGCTAAAGGGTATGATTTTTTTTGAGATAATAAAAATATCCTAAAATTGATTGTAGTGATGATTGTACAAATTTGAATATGCTAAAACCCATAAACTCATATATTTTAAATGGGTGAGTTGTATGGTATTTAAATATCTCAATAAAGCTGTTGCCAAAACAACTTACAGATATGACTATCTACAAATCAGAATTACCTGTAGCTTAAGAAATAATAAAAAATAGCCAGATGTGAAGTGGCTGAGGCAGGAAGATTGCAAGGTCAAGGCCAGCTTGGTCAACTGAGTGAGACCTTCCCTGTCTCAAAATAAAGAGGACTGGGGGTGTAGCTTCATGGTAGAGTGCCCCTGAATTAAATCCTCAGCACCACAAAAAAGGAGAAGAAGAAATAAAGAATAAAAATTTAAAAGTAGCATACAAATATCTTTATTATATAAAGAGCTCTTTGGGAATAAATAACTAAATGATAAACAGCCCAACTGAAAAAAATGGCAAAAGATTTGAACAGACTATTTCCAAAAGATGACATATAAATGACTAAAAGGCATATAAATAAAAGTTCACATCTCTAGTGAACATATTTTAAAACATAACAGTATGCAGGGTACATACGCCCTGAGTGTACAGGGAAATGGACATTCTTTTACCAAGACTCCTTGGTTCCCTGGAAAGCAGGACTTTCCGTGCTAACTAGGGCAAGACCCATCAAGGCAGGGTGAGCTGTTCCATCTAAGGTGGAGCTAGAGATTGTTCCAGGCCTACTTGGAGGTAGGCTCAAGAATCCATTGCACACCTACCCACCCACTGACCCAGAAATTCCAACAAAGCGTTCGTTCTTTCAACAATTATTTATTGAGAGTCAAACTGGATGCTGAGCCCAAAGCTGGGGACACCAACATTTATCTACAAGGATTTTTATCTCAGGTGTTTGTAACAAGGAAAAACTGGAAACCACTTGAACGTTGACCTGCTGGAGGTGGTTTAAATAAAGCATGTTTGATCTACATAATGAATTACTCTGCAGGCACTAAATAAAAATGATGTTGTTAAGAACAACATGGATCTACTACACGGAAGAAAGCAGGTTAGGAAATTGCACCAGTAACCCCAATTTGCAAATAAGATATATATGTGTGTAAACAAATGCCTGACAAGTTAACCCCCCCCCAAAGTTAACCGTGGTTATCTCTGGGTGCTGGGATTAGGCTCATTTCCTTCTCCTGGTTCATCTGTATAAATCTATTCTTTATCATAAACGTAAATGACATGAATCTCTTTTACAATCCAAAAAAAAGTCAACTGCATGAGAAATTATACTAATAATCCTGCCATGCCCCCAAGGGACGAGGCCCCTAGTTAGGGGGTGACAGAGTCACACCTGTGTTCGCTGTTCCACGTCATGACAGCCTCTCCTGTTAGCGTTGTAAGAGATGTTCTCACCACCACCCTCTGATCATCACAAGAGTCAGCGTGACAGGTGTTCGTGTGTGCTCTTGCCTCATTTTGTACTAACCCTACAGCTACTAGTGCCCACAGAGGCCCTGGACCCCTGGCCCCTCTGCCTCTAGCTGCCTCTTCTGCCTGTTCCCAGGGAAGGGCAGAGAAAGACCCCAAGGGGAGAAGCCTCACTCCTGAGGCCAGTTCTATGCTCCTCCTCCCTGCAGAGAGTGCAGGAGGTGACAAGTCAGCAAGGGAGGGGACATCAGAAAGGGGAAGGCCTGGCGCTGACCGAGGTCAGGGCACAGAGTGGACTAACCGGGGGACTCCTCGCCTGCCAGGCGACACTCAGGAAGCCCGACTACATCCGGTAGCAGGAGTTCCCAGGCCCCGTGAGCCCAGAGGCAGCGAGAGAAAACCTCGCAAGGTCTCAGGCTGCCCTCTGAAACAGCAGGAGAAAGACCGCCTTCCTCTGGAAACTTCTCCCCAGACTAAGTGACTGCAGGCCAGTCCTCCAGCCCTGGGCCTCCAGGGCCTCCCGGTGGGGAGGGTGGGGGAGGGGAGGGCTGCTGCTCCAGGACCCTCCCAGACCTGAATTCTGTGACTCTGTGGGACTTCCTCACCAAGGGCCCCGGCAGGAAGAGGAAGGGGGCCAGGAGTCTCCACCCTGCTCCCAAAGGGGCCCCCTCCTCTTCCCTCAGTTGTAGTTCCCACTTCTATTTTTAGAACAGACCACAGGGGAACGCCTCACCTCCACCAGCCCGCCCCCACCCTTGGAGCTCCAGGTAAAACAGGGGCCCATTCATTCCGCTCCAGCAAGAACATGCCAGGAATTTCTAGACAAGCCGGCCACTAGACAACCTCTCCCTAAGCCATTAGCTGGCCTGGTTTCTCACTTTTCCATTACAGCCAAAACAGTGGCTTGTATTTTCTTAATGACAACTCTGTGCATTGCTGAGAGACGAGGACAGCCATCTAAGACCATCTGTGCCCTGCTCCGTGCCCCCAACCCAGCAGAATCTTCAAAAGCCTGGTACCAGCTATGTGCCCTTGGCCAAGTCTTACCTCCCAGTTGGTTTGGTTTCTGTAAATCACTTTGTTAATCAATTGACCTCAGTAGGGAACACGGGAGGATTATTTATTTATTTATTTATTTATTTATTTATTTATTTATTTATTTATTTATTTATTTTAGAGACACCTTAGAAGAGTTTATGGTTAATTCTAGTTATTCAACATAAATACTGACTTCTCTGCTTTGGGATATGTGCTGGGTTGTGGTCCCAAAGTCTTCTGGGGGTTAACCATAGAATGTACTTTCCATTGGAAACTGTGTCATAAATCATGGCCATCTTCCTGGGCTACTTTTCCCTTAATGTTCTTCCATGGAGGAAAAAATGGTAGAAAACTAAATTTGCAATAATAGAATTAAACTCAAATGGAAAAGCACTAATGTTTAAAAGACACCTTTTAAGAAAATTTATCTTCAGTAGTATTGTCTGAGGGATAAGGGACAGATGTTAAGGGCAATGAAACAAGTCCACGACAACTTCTGGGGAAGGGTCTGCAGGAGAGAGAGACTTCCGACCCCTCCAAAAACTGAGCACTGCACACTGATGACCATCAATTCCACTTGAAGTCAGCCTGATGCTGTAGACCAGAGCTGGTAAGGTTAAAGACACTCATGTGCACCTGTCGCTGTGAAGTTCGAACGATTCCTGGGTGTGCCAGGCCACCTGAGCAGAAGGGAAGGAGGGAGGGGAAGATTCTAGGCTGAGAGCTCCTTGGGCTGGCCTCCCGGGGAGCCTAGAAGAGGTGGCCCTGAGTGAGATGGAGGCAGGTGTGGGTTTAATTTTGGGCATCTGTGATGAGGACCCTGACTGGTATAAGATCCACAAGCAAACCTTGAGTTATGAGTGCATGATGGATATTAACCCAGTACATGTGAGTGTTTCCACACACATACTCTCTGATGTCTGCTCTTTCTTCCTCTTAAGAGTCCTGAGGCTTCCTGCCCATTCTCCCCTCTGGAATCCAGTGTGGAACTGTCCCAAGGGATCAGGTGTGTGTCTGGAGACAGTGACAATGATGAAGAACTTGAACTAGTTCCAGCTGTCCATCAAGGGCTCTATCCTCTTGGAGGAGGCAGCTACTCTATACTGAACGTTGTGGTTCTATCTGAATAGTTTGGAATTTGATGAATCCTGGAGACCATTAAAGTTCAACTCCTTCATTTTTCTTGGTAAGGAAATGGATGATTAGAGATGAGAAGCAATTTGCCCAAGGTCACATAGTAAGTACCAGCGAAGTCAGTATTTGAACCAAGAGCATTGGAATTCTACTTTGGTTTTCCACGAGACAAGTGAGAGGGGGGAGCCCTAAAACGTGGCGAAGAGAACCATAATAGCAGCTCTGGTTAGGCTTCCTTTCCCTCTGGTCAGGAGACTCTGGTCAGCCTGGGAACATGGTTGCTACCCTTGACTCTGACGTGAATCTGATTAGATTGCCTCATAAACCCCTTGGGACTTCAGCCCTGCCCTGGTATCTGCAAAGCAAGGGGTAGGACAATAAAAAGAGCTCTGAGCAAGAGAGTCCTCTGACCTGAAGTTCTAGCCCTGGCTCTGATGCTAACTTGCCCATGACCCTGGCCAGGTCACTTCCCCTTTTGGATCCTGTTTCCTCCTCTAATTTCCAGAACATGAGAGGGTTGCACTGGGCAGCCCAATACAACATCTACTGCGCACCTACTGTGGGCCAGACAACAGCAAAAGACAAATAAAACATGGCCTCCACTTGCCCCCCCACAGGGGCTTGTAATATTGCAAGAGAGAGCTCTGCTGATAGACCACGCTCAGTATGAAACTCCTCTGGGAAAGCGCTACGGCGGGAGGCAGCGGCTTCTGATGTGTGCCTGAGAAAGGGGTCTCGGAGGAGGTGCTAAGCCTTGAAGGTTGAAGATGGAAGCCAGCACAGACAGCACAGAGGTAAAGCAGCATCAAGCAGGAGGAAAGCCTATACATGAATGGGCACTGGGACGTTGGAGCAGGGGACATAGCCCCCTGTGGCCAGGCTCAGGGGCAAAGCAAAAGGGAAGAGCAGCCAGGAGAACATAGAGACCTGGGCTTTATTCTGAGGACAATGGCCTCCCTGATGGCTTTTAAGCAGGAGTGTGACTGCCCAGTCACCCCAGCCCTTCCCAGCTGGGATGGTCTGTGGTTGCAGGAAAGCAGCATTAGAACCAAATCATCCAAAGCCAGGGTTCTGGAGCTGGGCTACCTGGGTTGCAATCTGAGCCACCCACCAGCTGTGTGACCTTGGGCAAGTTTCTGAATTCCTCTGAGACTATATACTGGGCATAATGGGAGTCAATGTGAAACAGAATAATGAAGCTCATAATACCGAAGTGAGGATTAAAAGAGATACCGTGCGTCAAATCTGGGCACTGTGCCTGGCTCACAGTGTGAGTGCTCATAAAATTACCTAGTGTTATCATTCTAACCTTAGACCAAGATCTGGGACCAGTTGGGAGGACGGCAGGCAGCAGACAGGCTTCAGAGACAGGCTTGGGAGAAGACAGCTGAGACAGAATAGAGGGTGAGACGAGGCTCTGTTCCTTGAGAGTGACAAAAGAATAGCAAGATGGCAGACCCCAGGAGCAAGACCGAGAAGACGGTCCACCCACAGCCAGACCAGCAGCCAGGGAGGGAGGAGAACCCAAGGGCATCTGGAAAGAGCTGAGCTTGTTGGAGAAAACGGTCTGCCTCTTTGAGGGAAAAGCTAAAATCCAATCCATTTGATCTCCGCTCGCCCAACGGTTGAGACCTTAAATCAGTCAATTAGCACAAAACCTAGCAGAGGCATCAGCCCAGGCAGGCCCTCCCCTTCTGTTCTCAGCTGGCTCAGGTCAAGGCCTCCAGCCGTACAGATGCTCCACCAGGCCTTCCTGCCTGGGCCCCAGGGCTGTGCCTGCGGATCCTCTTGAATGCCAGGCTCCAGAGGGGAAGGGGCATAACCCAGTCATTCCCAGTGCCCCAAGAACCCGTCTTAGGAGCTCAGTCTGCCTTTCACATCAGACTTGATTCCAATCTTTTGGGAAAAGATTGATCTTTTCAGCCTGTGCCACCCCATAGGGAAATGAATACTGGAAGTTTCTTCTTCAATCAGCAGAGAATAAGGACTCTCATTGTACTTGTCCCCAAAGCATCCCCACAACAGCTAGCGGGGCCACAGCTTCTGACACACAGATAGCCCCCTCCTGCTTCCTCCTGGAGGAGGTCAATGACTTCTCTTACTTCTAATCCTGAAAGCAAATTTTTGCCTCTAGAAAGAGTGATCCATCAGACTGGAGGACTGGTTCAGTCTTAGCTTGAGGGCTGGTTGGGTCCCTTACCAGCTGTGTGACCTAAGAGAAATCACTTAACTTCTTCTCAGAGGGTAGGGCTCTCTCATCCAAAAGGCCCAGGGGACATAATGCCTGGGGACCCCAGGTGCCATTTCCAAATCTTACGTTATCACTGTGAGAAACCCTCCCAAAATTACCTGCACCTTTACTTTGTAGAATTCTTTTGGTGCCTTGGTGCTATGTGTGACAAACGAGGGCTTTGGTGGCAGAATTTAGGGAGATAAATTAAAGAATAAAACAACAAGACATACACAAATAAATGTCATTATTTCCCAAAGGTCCATGTTGTCCCAACTCCTAAAGGGGCTCAAAGATCCAGGCATGATAGCTTACAGGAGAGATGAGTGTTTCAAAAGAGCCGGAGCCTGAGACCTAAGAAACCATGAAACAGGATCAGAGGGTGTGTGGGGGAACTAAAAGGGTCACTTTGTATTCAAATGACACAGATGGCCTTTTCAACAATAAATGGTTGTGCTCCCATGCTCCCAGCTCCTGGGCCCAAGACACCAAACCAAGACAATTGGCCCATCAGGAAAGAGGCCATTGTGTGCTTCTTAGCGTGATTTATGCGGTGGGGAGGGGCCGGCCACGTTTCCCGTGATTATGACTCTCAGATGTGATTTGGATAGCTGTGCACCATCTTGAACGGCTGGGATGGACTGGGATGCAGAAGAGCGGTGGCCACCAGGTCATATTTCATCTTCTGGAGCCCATGGAGCCAAATTAATTGTTGCATCGATTCACAAGGCAGAGCAGCAATGGCACTGTGGCTCACCGCAGTCGCTGGGCAGCCCAGGCCCACCAGCAGCACAGGTCCGCTTCCCCGCCCTGGACCCGATGGGAGCATGCTCCGCCTATTAGCTCATCAGGACAAGCTGGAAGGCAAGCCCCGGCCGGGGTCTGGGTACTGTGTTCAGAGTCTCCATTTCTCTGTGGCCAGAGCTCCTGTCCTCTGCACCTGTCTGTTGGACAGAGCTGGGTCACCAGGCCCAGGGGAGACAAGCCTGCTGCCTTCCCAGACAGGCGATTCTCTCGTGCCTCCCATTCCCCTTAATGTCATTTTGTGAGGGAATCAAATGAAATCAAAGTGCAGCTTGCTGTCTGTGCAGACCCAGCTGCTCCCTGCTCCATTCGCCCTGCGGGCCGAGCCCTGGCTGGCAGAGGTGCTGAGTATCCCAGTCCAGGCAGCGTCTGTCTCCCTCCTGGGCAGGGGCATTAGCCTGGTCACCAGCAGATCTATCCCACCCCCCCAGTAGGCTGCTGATTCAGCACGTCTGCTCTTCCTTACACTGGGAAGAGGGAACATGGAAGGTAAGGGGCATATCCTCTTCTAAGCTACCAATCTGGGGATTCAGGTGGCCACAGCAGCTGTGCAAACTCACAAGGGCACAGGAACCTTCTCTAAAGACACTGACAACACAGAGAGTATCCAAGGGCAGGGGCTTCTCTGGCCAGAGCCATATCTCCAGCCTCTCAGTTCCCTTTTCCTTCACAAATGATGCTGGTCTTACACGTACCCTTTTGTACAGGAGTGTTGTCCCTCAGACCTATGACCTTGGCATAGAAAGGGGTATGAGAGCTGCATCACCCTGAGCTCCAGCAGGGGCTATGGCAGGCAGCCCACAGGATGGGCTCCCATCATTGCCCCTCAGTGAGTCTTCTAGGACAGTCTATGAGAGTTCCTGAGCCACACCCAGCCTGTAGGCCCTGACCCTTAGGAGCTCTACAGAAAGCAAACCAAGCATGTCCAGAGCTGGGTTCCAGTTTCCCATGAGACCACTCAGCATAGGATGGAGGGGCTACACGGGCAATCCCTGCCAAGGTCTGGGGGCTTTGAACCTTCCCACCTTGGCCAGGCTGAGCATCACTGGTCCCACCTCCAGGAACGCTCCAGAATTCAGCCCAGGCCTGGCCAGCAGGCAGCTTTCTGAGGAAGGTTCCAAACCTGGCTCACACCACTGAGAAAACAAGATGTGCTGGAAGATAAGGGCGGGTGGTGGGGCAGGGGCGGGGGCCAGGGAACCATCTCTTCTCATCCTAGAACCTGGCATTCACATGCCCACCACCCCAGTCACCCTCCAGGACAAACCATCGTCCCTCACCCAGAGGACTGAAGGGACCCCTAACTGACCTCATACGTCCTCTTGGGCCCCACTATCCACAATCTGACCTTGTAGAAATGTACCTGAGGCTCTGACTCCCTTCCTCAAAAGCCCTCCATGGCTCCCACTGTATCTAGAATGAAATCAACAAAACACTGCCTAAGTCCTGCCCCGGCTGGCCCTCACCACTAGGGGCAGCACTCCACGCTCCCATGGTAGGAGTCCTCCACATGCTGCGCCTTCGGCCTGGACCATGCTCTCAGACCTTGGCTGGCTTATTCCTTTGCCCTCCACTTTCCTGTCCCCGCAGAGCCATCTGGACACAACGCCCTCTAGAGGCATCCGTTAGCTTCCTGCACAGATTCTCCCAGCTGTGAGCTCCTGTCGGCGGTGATTTATTTAAGGTTCCTTCCCTGCTAGGACTAGAATCTGGATAAGAGAAGTGGCCACATCCACCTGGTTCTCCATAGTACCCCCCAAGCTCCTAGCACAGAGCCTGGCACAGAGGAGATGACCCCAGATATCCAATGAATGAACGCACGAATGTGTCCAGATGAAAACGAGTGACTGGGTAGAGGCAACTTCTGGCCACGGAGGGTCAACCTTGTCCACCAGGGCGACCTTGGCGCAGGTGCCCGGATGCCGTTTAGTCTCCTTCTCCTTGGAGGGAATGAGCTTCTGAGTCTTTCCATCTGGGCCTCTTGCCACCGGTCTGCACATGCGCCGGGGGCCTCTGGCGCCACTGCTCCCGTTGCCAGTCCACACATACCCTCGGGACTGCTCCCTTCAGATGACCCTAGGCCCACCATCTTGGTCCTCTGTTTTGGGTCCAGTTGAGGTGAGGTTACTGTGTGGTAGGGGACGCCCCAGAAAGGGTTAAGTTGCCAGAAGCAGAGTCCCGCCCTTGGGTTTGCTCAGCCAATCAGAGTCTGTCCTGATGAGGTAAAGCTTCTATCCTGGGTAGCATTGGTGGAGTTGGCTGGCCCCATCTCCTGCTGGAGAGAGCCGTAAGGGTGGAGTTTCTGTGGAACCAGACAGAACTGGAATTAGCTCACTGTCTACTCTCAGGCCAGGCCTGCCTGGCTCCACGACCTGCCTCTGGTCCTTTCTAAGGCATTCAGACAGTCCCCAGCATCTCCGAGGCCCGTCTCGGGCTGCCCCAGCGGAGACGACAAGGTAGCACACACCTTAGCATCCCATCTGGAAGAAGGCTGGCAGCCGGAGCGGACCCAGGAGGCCTCGGTTTCCCTGCCTGAATCCTGAAATCCAGTAGGTAGCTACCAGGAGGTGGCATGGAGCAGTCCTCACACGTGCTCAGAGCACCAGCATTGACTTCAAGAAACAAGGACCCCAAAGGAATCTTCCTAATCAGACATCATGGACAAACCACGGCGAGAACGACCACAGGCGCTCGTTCACAGAGATCTTCTCCCAGGCCACTTGGCCAAGCACAATACCAGTGTGATCCTCAGAAGGGCCCTGTTAACCCATCCACTTCACTGATGAAAAACTGAGTCTCAGAGAGGCTACGTGTCCCGCCTGAGGTCATGTCACCACTATGTTATTTTGAAGTATCTGCTGCCTTATCTGTCTCTGCCACTAGACTGTGATCTGCCAAGGACAGAGTGTGACAAATTCCTCTGTGTAGTTCCCAACATGGAGAGCAAGGCCAGTCTGTGCTGCCCTGCACCTTCTCCCCGGTCAGCCCCAGGACTGAGGCAAGACTCCTGTACTCAGAAGGTTCCAGAGGCCAAGCCTAGCACCATGCAGATGGGAATGCTCCAAGAGGATTCCCTGCACGGATCATGAATACACAGCCACAGCCCCTGGGACCACTCTTAGACCTGCAGGCAGGGCCTTAGTGCTCGGATCACCACTCCGATGCCCTTGCCACCTCTCCCCAATCAGAAGAACTCCATAAGGACAGGGACCAGGTCTTGTTCATCTCTGTGATCCCAAAGGACCTAAACCAGCGTCAAGCACAGAGAACACATCGGTTATATATGTTTGATTGACTAGCTCAAATAACCCACCCCTGCCTCTCCCCACCAGCCCAGAACCTCGCTGGCCGCAGCAGGGACCAGCTCTGTGTTGCTCTAGATGAGAAGCGTCACAGCAGTGCTGGGGGAGCGCGTGGAGAAGTCAGTCTGAGTTGTGCAGACGGAAGAAAGCTGGACGCCCTCCAGGGACAGGTAATGAGGCAAGAGAGGGGCAGAGTTCCCCAGAGGAAGGAGGTTGTAAAGCAAGAAAAAAAAAAGCTGGGACAGGAGAAGAGCCACCCCACTGGTGGTTGTCAACAAAGAGCAAGCAGGAGAAAGGCAACGGAGTCCCCAGACAAGGGATGCCAAACAGCCAGCTGCTGCCGGTCTCGTTGGTCCATCCTGCCATATGGGACCCTGCACTGTCAGGTCACAGGCACCTTAGACATGGCCTAGAGAGCCGGTACCTGCCCTTCCACCCACAAGAGGAGATCAGGTCTGGCCTCTAAGACAGTAGGTTTCATGAGAACTGGGCCAGAAGCCAGAAGCAGAAATCTTCAGGAGACTGGATGGCCCCAGGCCCTCGGCTTTCACGATCATCACCTAGCAGGAAGTGCCCCAAAGCCACCTGACCAGTACAGAGGGGACCGGCTGAGGCCATGGCCGGCAGTAGTTGATGAAGGTCACACAGCATGGGTCTCTCCTGTTCTTTGAGTCCCTCTTCCTCCCTTTCCCCATCCTTCCCAGCAAGCATCTAGGTCATTTTCAGGGCAAATCACACTTATTTCAGCTGGTGAATTGGAGAAGAAAGACCTTCGCCATCCTTGAGATGGCTGAAGAGTTCCCTATCCCAAGGGGCCAGGGACTCGGGGCTGGGAAGGGGCAGCGGGGTTCTAGGCAGTTGCCTCACAAACCTCTCTTTCCCCAAGAGGCATCTGGATGGGGCAGGGTGCTTAGCAGCGGGAGGTGGAGCGCCCCCCTAGAGAACACAGAGGAGTGGAAGGACAGCCTGGGCCGACTCCAGGGGTCAGGCAAGCAGGACCTTGGTGCCGCAGCCCAGCCCTTGGGAAGGAGGTTTACGGTCCCCCTGAGACAGTGCAAATATATGGTAGGGTGGGCCGGCTGGCAGCCACCTGGGCCTGTCACCAAGGTCACTAAACCCTTCCTGGACTTATTTCAGCTGGAGAGAATTGTATTTATTGGAACTTCTCTTGGGAAGCCTCTGTAAGTGGCCAAAAGGAGTAAGTTGCTAAGGCTCTGAGTATGGTAGAGGCGGGTGGGGAATGTTGAACCCAGAGACGTCGGGGCCACCTCACTAGAGTGGCTCCATAAACTGCCTTGTATGGAGGGTGGGCTGGGGGAGGGTGGGCTGGGGGAGGGTCAAGCCTGGGGCGGGGCCCGTCTCAGGCCCAGCAGGCAGTTCTGGAGATGTCCCAGAAGCTGGGTGCCTCCTCCATCTTCTCCTGCCGGCTTCTCCACTAACCACTTGTACAAAGGGCTCATGGGACAAGGTGGCCAAACTGCTACCTACTCGAGAGGCCCATAGATCTTGCTGGGTCCCTGAGGCCAGGACCTGGGGCCCAGCCAGGTTGAGCCACCTGTCAGGGTCAGCAACTATCTCAGACACTGTCAGCCTCCGGGTGCTTGTGACCCCACATATCGTGAGAGGCTACCAACATGCTCCAGAGGCAGCCAACTCTGAAGCTGAGACTCACAGACCTGTTCCCCCACAAGAGAGCAACTAAGCCCAAAGAAAAGAAAGCAGGGGACCATTCAGACATTCAGCACTCCCTAGGGCTGCCCCAGTGAGGGGGGCTCAGCCTGGACTCCGACTGTGGCCAACCCCGGATCAATGGGGCAAGACCAGCCTATAGCCCCAGACAGGTCTCTCCCCAGAAGAGGAGCCTGACAGTGGGACCAGCAGGTGCTACCTGGGAGAGGGCAATGCAGTAGAGTGACTAGCCCAGGGTCACACCACCAGTCAATGGTGGAGTGGGACTTGGGAGGCCCATGTCTTCCCACTACCCTGTCAATGTGAAACACATCAACTCTCAAGTCCAAGATGATGAAACTCTCAGATTCTCAGTCCCTTTGGGAACAGCTGGGGATTGTCTGTCCACCAGTGACAGGAGAGGCTGCCAGACACCTCTCCCACCTCCTGCTCACAGCCTCCTCCATGAGCCTGGGTGCGAGGCCCCCGCAGGCCTGAACACTCCCAGAAGCAACAAGTCCAGCGGGTTAACAGGCTGCAGCTCCCTCTCATTTATCCTCTTCCTCAAAACCCAAAAGCACCCTCCTCAGCAACTCTCATGGCCAACCACACCAAGTTCCAAATGGCCAGCATGTTTAGTAAGAGAAGGGATCTGAAAACCTTATAAATGAGGGCATAAAACTGTGCCTTATGGAGGCATCCAGGTGTCAAAGGGCCAACACGCGTCATGGTCCATCCCCAAACCCTTGGCAGTTTCCACTGGCAGCCTCCAATCTTCCCTAGCTGGCCAGTCCCCAGCCCCCAGCAGTCCAAATCCAGCTCCACTTGGCTCTGGCCTGCATTGAACTATGATAGGTCCTGCCACAAACACGTCTGCCTTGGGCCAGTGCTAAACACCAGCGCGCTGCCCCCAGGCACGGCCTACCAACGGCAGAGGGGCCGCCTGCCTGGCAGCAGCAGGGAAGCCAGGCCAAATTAAACCTTGCCCCAGGCGAACCCAACAGCAGAGCCGAGGACTGATGGATCATGCTCAGTTTGGCTCCTCGGCTCTTCCCGAGCGATGTCACGCTCACTCGACAGACCCGAAGAAAAGCCCAAGGGGCAGACCTTCCTGCTCAGGCAGCCTGCCAAGAGCTCGGTGCCCAGATCCAAGTGCCAAGCCCAGGCTGGCCCCCAGCTCAAGGCGGAGGCTCGAGGACCAGGCTGGCAGAGGGGAAGCGAGGCAGCCTGGGCCGCGGCGGCTGGCGAGGCCCTTACCTTCCTCCCCGGGGGCGACGCTGCCAGCTGTTGCTGCTTGGCGATGTTCTCCGACAGGCACCAGCACACTCTCTTCTTCTGCTCCTGCGAGTGCGCCTCCAAAGTGAATAAGCACTCTGCCTTCTGACGTCAGGGAAAACAGAGAGAGGGATGGTCAGGGCTGCTCCCTGGCTCGAGGGGCTCCCAGGCCCCAGCCCATCTCTGGGCTCCAGAGGGCGAGGCTGCAACAGGGAAGGGAGCGTCCGCTAAGAGCCACAAATGCACACTAATCCCAGGTGACATCAAGGCAGCCAGAGGAGCAGGGAAACAGTTCTGGGACCAGCTGGGGAGCTCTGGGCTGGATGGTGTTGGGGGAGGGGAGGGAGGCAGTGGCTTCCAACACAGTAAAGGCCTGTGGAGAGCTGTGGGACAGGGACCAGGGACGGTGAGGTCACCCCCGGGGCAGGCAGCACAAGGCTGCAGCTGGGGAGCACTCGGGGAATCCAGAGGGCCGAGGTCTCAGGCTGACGCTGTCTGGAGCCAGGGCCTCTCTGCATCCCCTACTCAGCACACTCCTCTATCTCAAGGTCAAGGTGAGATGGATGGATGTTGGATGGATGCTGAGCAGAACCAACCCAAGGAGCAACTCAAGTCCCTTTGAAAAGTGCCAGGTGGGCAGTGATGCTCCTCTGCAGCCCACCATGGCCTGGCATGTGAGCTGGGACTCTTCCCTGACTGTTGAGCCCCACTGAGGGTAGGGTCACCTTGGGCACAGCTGTCATTCAAATAAAATCCTTCTAGGAAGGCCCTTTTCACCTGGGGCCAAGCCCTGTGCAGGGAAGTACTGACTTCAGCAAGCTCTGGCTGTGAGGAGGAACTTTCAGGAAGAGGTCAAACCCAGGCCAGCTTTGGCACAGGCACAGGGACACTGGCCCCTGAAGCATTCAAATCATGAAAGGAGTGGAGTGGAGCCAAGAGCCCAGGGTTACCACCAGCCACCAACCAGGCAGGTGTTCTGATCAGGGCAGGAAAGTGCTGACACCACCAGAATCTGGCTGTAACCTCAAAATGCTCTGATGACGTGACCTCAGCCCAGGAAGCTGGGGGCATGAGCTGGAGGGAAAAGAGAAGCAGGCTGTGTTTCCACCTGGTCCTTCCTCAGGGAATTTGAATTCTGCCTTTGACACTTCCTAGCTACCAACCTCAGGAAAATCAGGAGTTTTCTGTAACATAGGACTGAAAATGATGTCACCTACATCCATTCCCAGGCTATTAGGAGACCAAGCTAACAAAGATGATCTCAGGTCTCCTCATGCAAAAGCTACTGTTATTATTTAATAATTTATTCATTTAGTAAGTGTTTATTGAGCACCTAATATATATCAGGGTCTCTGCTAAGCATTGGTAATAAAGATGCAAATAAGATTGACTAAGTCCTTGTCCTCAGGTTAGGGGGTAAGGACGATGAATCATTAAATAAATGATATAATTTAAAATGGTGAAAATGTCACAAAGGTCATACTTGAGCTGGGTGGTCAGAGAAGGCTTCTAAGAAAGGCTGAACTTGAGCTGAGGCCTGATGGTTAAAGAAGGAGACAGCAAGAAAAGTGTTTGAGGAGTTCTTCTGGGCAAAAGGGACAGAAAATACAAAGGCCTTGTGCTGGGGGTGTTCACTGGTATTTTCTTCTTCTTTTTTAAATTTTTTTTAGTTGTTGATAGACTTTTATTTAATTTATTTATTTATATGAGGTGCTGAGAATCGAACCCAGTGCCTCACACATGCCAGGCCAGTGCGCTACCGCTGAGCCCCAGCCCCAGCCCTCATTGGTATCTTCTAATAGCACATTTGGGATTTTTTTTTCTCTGCCCTACATCAAATCCAACCCACAGGATACCATCCTTCAGGGTGGGGCCACCTCCCACCCTGTCCCCAGGGTGCCAGCCGTTCCTCTGCCACAGACAAGTACTCAGAAGCCGTTCTTCCTAAAAGCACCGAGAAGAGAGGGGAAGAGCCTGCTGGCTGACCTCAGAAAGGCCACTCTAACCCTCCACCTCTCACTTAACCAGGGTGCCCTCTCTGCCCACTGCAGGAGAAGGTGCAAGACCCACCCAGAAACAGAGCGAGATTCCCCAGGAGGAAGCCCGTGGGGCAGGCGCTGACCAGAGAGGCTCAGTCTCTTTCAAATTGGAAAAAAAACCACCACTTCAGCTGGCCCCGGCCTGATCCTTCCTGCCCTGCAAATTCCTTCATCTCCCACAGTCTTAATGTCCTCTTTCTGTTCTGAAGCAGGAATTCGGCCTTAATAATAATTCCTTTTATCTGATTATCAATTTTAAAAAGCACTTTGCCATCCATGATCTTGTTTTGATCTTGGCAATTTCATGGAAGCGGAAAACTAAGCCTCAGAGTAGCTGAAGGGCCTCGCTGAGTCTTGTGGCCCATGAATCCCAGAGAGGAGACCCCAAGCCTTACAGAATTATTTGCGGAGGTTTCATCTCCAGAACCTGGGGAGGCCTCACCGCCTGGCCAAGTGCCCTTGTCTGGCAGGACTGCTCTCTCTTGCAGACAAAGCCAGAAGCAGCCACAGCACCAGGCCATCAGAAGAAACTATGGGCCAATGGGTCCCCCAGCAGCGTGGGAGTTCACTGGGAGCTTTTGTACCACTATCTGCTGCTCCACGCTCCAGCAGGGCAAACCCTTCCCTGCAAAAGTATGAGAAAACTTCCCTAGGCTGGAAGGACCCCTCAGAGAGACAGGGCTACCTCCCTAATTCTGAGACAGCTTCCTCCCACCCCCCAGCCCCCACAGGACTAAGCACCTTCCCGGAGGTGCCTCAGTATTTCTTCCAATAATCGTGTAAGGTAGCAGCTGTGATCATTCACTGACACCACAAGAACCACCCCTTTGGGAAGCCATGTTGCTCCACTTGGAATGGAAACCCGATCATTTGTAATGATTAAATGGGATGCTAAAAGATTCTGCTGCCAAAGCACTTAGCCCAGCGCCTCCTGCGGAATGTCCCTTGGAAAGCCATGTTTCCCTACCCGGCATGGCCACCATAGTGCCAGTGTCAGCAGCAGAGCATAGGGCTGGAACCCTCCAAAACGCTAGAGGACCCAGAAGGCTGCCTAGGTACCTCGGACAAACCCAGGCCTGGCCCGGGACAGGGGCTGGCTGTCTTAGATGGGAAAACATTTTGAGGAGCTCAAGCTTTGCAGACTGGCCTGGCCAACCAGGGAAGCTGAATCTCCGTCTCCCTCAATCTGCCTAAAGTGGGGGCCCTCATTGCCAGTCTGTCTGCCTGCACATGTGAACCATCTCTCAGACCAGTGTGTGCTCCAAGTGCCCCAACTTGTGGGTTTCATGCTGACTTGAACTTTGCCCTCAATACCAGGCTCCAGGGTCAAGGCTGCCGTGAGCCATGCAAAAGGCATCCTCACATAATTCACATCACCCACGGGGTGGTCAACCACGCACAGACCGCTCAACAGTACAAGCTCTGAGCAGATGGCACCGGGCCCAGACCCCTGCTCTTAAACATGGCCATCCTCAAATCTAAACAGACAACCCAGCTCCTCGTGGCTTCTCTGAAACCCCCATCTTGCCTCACCTCCTTGCTCCTGGATTAATTTTACTTTGATAAAAACCAAAACCTTTTCATCTATGGCTGAAGTTTGTTCGCTTGCTTTGGCGAGCATGTTCTCACTGTTGAGTTCTCCTGACAAGTGCGTGGTGTGGGGAGGAAGGAAAGTCACAGCTGTTCCCATTCTCCAGATGAGAACACTGAGGCTCACAGGGATTAAGTCCGTCTCAAGCCTCCTCCCGAGCCTGTGATCTGTTGTGCTTGTATCGCTGTGTAAGCGCATCACAGAAAATATGAGTTTACTTTTTAAAAGATCAATAAATCATTTGTTGTCTCGCTAATGGAGGGTAAATGAATATGAAAAGCACTTCCTCTTGCTGTGAATCTGACAATAATAGTAGCTGCCACTCATTGGGCACTCTGTGCCAGGCTCTGTGCTAACTGCTTTGGATGCACTGTTTCATTGAATCTCATTTAATCATTACAACCCTGCAAAGTAGGCCTCCTCGCCCTGGGTCACAGAGGAGTACATAACTTGCCCAGGAAAAGGCGAAGCCAAGATTCGAATCTAAGTCCTCCTTAGTCCAAAGTGAGGGAATGGTCCCTAGCCTACATGATAATCCACCCAGTGCCCCCTGTGCTCCCATGCCCGACCTGGGCTACATCTGACCCATGGATTTGCAGGGGCTGAGGGACACCTGTCCAGGGGACTAGACCCAGGACTGCTTAGGTTGACCTTCCTCTGGACTTGGAGCTGGGGAACAATCAGAAAGCTGCTACCACATGGGCAGTGGGGTCCTCTAGTGCAGAATGGAAACACCTCTCCAAACCTTGACTCATCCCCCTGGTTTCTGCTCAGGGCGCCACTTGCCCATCAGACAATGAAGAGAAGTCACTTGGTGGAAGTTCCAACTAAGACGCGAGTTTGGGGCCCTCCATGGAACCCAAAGCAGCCCTGTGGAGACTGTGCCAGCTACAGAGCAAGCAGGCGTCTGTTCTCCCTTGCATTAGACTTGCCTCTCATAAATAGCAACCCATTAGGAGAAGAGAGACTTCCAGCTGCTTGCGAGCTGCAATCTCCCAGCCCCCTGGGGTCAGATCACCTGGCACTTCACTGAAATAAAAGGCCCCAAATCAATATCCCTTCTTCACTCTTTGGAGGGCTAGGACACCACAGATCCAATGGAGCAAAAGTGCTTTTCTCTGGGAAAAACAAACCCAGCCTGGCAGGAAGCTCTCTTGGTATTAAATTAAAGATCCTGGAGCCGCTGGAGAGAATCAGAATCCAGAATGACAGCGCTAGGGGACCAGCCTGGATCATGGCTTCTCTTGTCTGCACCCTGTGCGCTTGGCTCTGTAGAACTGGACACCCTCCGGCACTGAAGCTATTCCCTGTGTCCCAGTGGGGATGTGGCTGACCCAGGGGGGGACATCCAATGCCCTTGGGTCTGTATTCCAGGCCACTGAGTCCCCAGGTCCTTCTTGGGAGTCCCCAATTCCTTCTCAGAAGGGTACATTCCTCTTGGCCAGCCGATAGACCATGTCCCACCCCCAGGGTCTGAACAGTGTGGACTCTCCCACCAGGGTAGACAGGTTCCCAGGACTACTGGGTGAGGAAGACTTAAGGGGAGGCAGAGGGCAGGGGTGAGCCTAATGAGTCCTTCCTTAGAAATGACGCCGCCGTGCCCACACATTGGCAGAGATACAAGATTGAGAATAGAAAATTCACTGAAAATTGAAAAGAACTTGTGTGGCTCAGTGGCTCTCAATATTTTCATCACCAAGGACCTCTTTGGTTAACCCCCAGGTTTCACAATATTTTTTCTGCCAAGTCGTATCAAGCAATAAGTTGTTTGCCTAATTTTGCTCTGCATCCAAAGCACCTAGCACAGAGCCTGGCACAGAGTGCCCAGTGAGTGTTTTTCTGGAGCCTCCTCCCTCCTGTTGGAGGATCCCAAAATCAAGCATGTAAGCATGAGATAACCAGGAGAGTCCACCTCTCTGAGCGGGGATCCGTCCAGCCCAAACACACACACTTCGTGTTTGCTTTAGCCTGCGTTATCTGGCCCAGGGAATGGAATGATCACCTTTGGGGCCTTTGGAAACACTGATGAGACCCTGTAGGAGTGGAGTGTAGGTGTTACTTCCTGGAAAAAGACAACCAAAAAAGGCAGGTGCTGGAGTCGGGGCAATCTCTAGAGGAAGGGCTGCTAAATAAATAAACAGGGTGAAGTGCAGCTGTCGGGCTGCGCCCTCATTATGCGAGCTGAGCAGGAGATCTCAGGAGCTGTCCTGAGCGCCATCTTGTCCACTGCTCTTTCCCACAAAGCTAAGAGACGGGGACACTGACTGCCATTCTTGTTCAACAGAGCAAGAGGCAGCCCTTCTGGATATGCCCTGGATCGTGCAAGAGCCTTGGGGAGGCCAGCATTAGAACCCTCCTCCAGAACCCGGCCCCAGGTCTTCCCTCAAGCCCCAGATCGCAGATCACTGTCCTCAAGTTCAGAGAAAGGGACTCACCTCTGCTAGATACAGCACACAGAATTTCAAGTCTTCTGAAGAACCTTTGAAAGAACAAAAAGTAAGGCTGGTGTTAGCATCGGCTGAAGAGTCTCAGCTGGGACACAGCCCAGCTGTCCCAGCTGTCTCGCCCCAAAGGCTGCAGGTGCTGCTTCCTGGGAAAAGCGGGAGCAAGAGGAAGGCACAGGGTGCAGAGCCCACTAATTAGCCAACCAGGGTGATGCACGGTTGTAAGTCGCCCATAGGTCAGCGTGAAAGGCATCCCCAGGAGAGGCACCCCGAGCACCCTTTGGGCATCCAACAGGCAGGCACAGGGAGCTGTCATAGATCCCAGGAGGCCTCCTCCTTCCCGCGATCCTGCTATGAGGGGCGTGCAAGCAGCACACACCTGGGTTTCCCTTTAAACACCCCAATTGCCTTGGCTATTCCGAAATTCAACAAGGAGCCATTTGGGACCTGGAGGCGAGGAGCTTGTTTCCCTCCAAGAAACCCGGGGCCAAGGAAGGGCAATCCCCAGGCACAGGCTTTCTGAGCAGGTTTCCTGTGTGTTTTCCTGGAGCCTCCTCCCTTCTGCTCCAGGATCCCCAAATCGACCATTTACCAGCCTCTGCACCTGCAGAGCGCTGGGAGGGGCTGTCAATCATTCCCTTCTCCTCCAGCAGAGGAGCCAAGGCACAAGCCCAGGGGCCCAGAGGTGACCCCCAGCTGTTGGCAAGGGCGTCCTGGAGGAGGACCTTTCTGAGCTAGAACTCAAGATGGGAAGGTGGGAACAGCCTGAGCAAGGGCGAGGACAGCCAGAAGCAGCAGCTGTGCCCAAGAGACAGCGAGTGCAGAGGAGAAGCTGCTGCCTCCTCCAGGACACCTACGCTGGCCACCGGGCCACCCCTTAGGCCCTGGCAGCACTCCCCATTGGGACACTTGTCTGAACACAGGGCGGGGATGGGTGGAAACTCCCTGCACTTTAAGCAATCCACCTCAGCAGCAGCCTGTCACTTTCGAGGACGCAACCATACAGCAACGCTGAAAGCCCCAGAGATCTCTGGAGTGCGACAGTGCCGTGGTCCAAATGTTGCTTCAAATGCTTTCCATGTATCAGCTCAAGAGCTGCGGGGTAGCTCAGCGGCAGAGCGCTTGCCCGCCATGTATCAGCCCACCCCACCAGGACCCCAAGAGGGGGAGCCAGGGGTCAACTCGGCAGCCTGGTCCACAGCCCACCTCTCAAGGCCTACCTTGCAAACACTGGGCACAAAGCACACTCCGCAACACATACTTGAAGCAAAGAAATTGCCAAAGAACCAAAATTTGTCACAAAGAAAAGGCAGCAAGGTAAAAACAGAAATGGTGGGTCAAGCCGACGCCCTAGTAAAGCAGAGAGTGGGGCGCTGGTGGGTGAAGGCCAGGTCCCCTCCAAGCAGGAACACGGGCAGTTCTCTGGGCCCAAATCTCCTGAGGGCCAGAGCCAGACAAAAACAGCCCCGAAGTAAGTGGGAGTCTACTTCGGACTAGGAATAACTCTCCCTAATTTCCCCACTGGGGACGGGCTGGGGAGGGAGGCCGTCCTGCCTAAGAAATCTCATGTTGAAGGAAACTAACTCCAAAGCTTCTGCTGGTTCCTTGTGTTGTGGGGGGTGTGAAGACAAAAGGAGGTGGTTTCTTCCTTTTAAGAAAACACTTAACTTTCCAGAAGCAGACCTTAGTGCAGAGGCAGAGCCAAAGAGACCTATGGAGGAAGAATGATAGAAATGCGGGTTTTAGAAGCTGGCAGTGAGGACGGAAGGCTCTGCGAGGAAGAAGAGTACCCAGGACATGAAATTCCCGGGAGGCAGGAGCGAGGCTGGGGGTCCCCCACCGAGTCTGCTGTGAAGCCAGCTCCTGCTGCCCTGACCTCCCTGCATCTCTGCAAACTTCCGCTGGAATCTGCTCCACATCCCAGCTGGGTGCTGGCAGCACTGGGACAGAGGATGGAATGGGGGCAGCACTCAGCATGAGTCAGAGCCTCATAAAAGAACCACAAACCAAGGGTCCCCAAATCAGCAAGGTTCAGAGGGGGGGCTTTTAGGCAATGATTAGATCACTGGTGGGGACTCTGAACTGTCAGTGGATGGATCCATTAATCCACTGACAGCTTAATGGACCACTGAGAGGTGGGACCTATTGGAGGGAGTGGGTCACTTGGAGGGTGTGCCCTGGAAGCACTGATCTTCCCCCAGCCCCTTCCCCTCTCTGCCTGGATGCCATCATCTGAGCAGCGCCCTTCCGCCATGCCCTACTGCCACCATGCTCACCTCGGGCCCAGAGCAATGGAGTCAGCTAACCACAGACAAAATCCTCTAAAACCATGAGCCCAAATAAATCTTTCCTCCTCCTAGTTGTTCTTGCCAGGTATTTTAATCACAGCAACAAAATGTTAACACACTTCCCTCCTGGAACATTAAGACTGGCACTTGCCTCACACATGTGAGGCACTGAGTTTGATCCTCAGCACCACATAAAAACAAAAAAGACTGGGGCTTTTTGAACTACTGAGCGGTGGGACCTAGTTGGAGGAAGTAGGTCACATAAAAAGACTGGGGCTAGTGTGGAAAAGAGACTCGGAGGCAGCGTGTGCTGGGGTTTTCCTCGCAACATTCTAACTGCCTCCGCCATTTTGGAACTCAGTGGGGAGCCATTAACAGTTCCAGAGTGGGCCTCCCTTCCCAGGAAGGAATGCACGGGCCTTGCAGGGCAGACCTCTAAACATGAGCTAAATGGAGCCCAGAGGGGCCTTCCTGGCCCAGGTCTGACCCCTCTGTTATTTCCCCAGAGCCCTTTCATGCCTGGCCTAAAATCCCAACTCAACCATTCACCAAATCCTCCTCACCCTCCGAAGCAGGCCAGGAGGGCTGCAGTCTCCATGCCCCAGATACACAGACCGAGGCCCAGGGAGGGGAAACAACCTGTACCCGGCACAGTGCGTCAGTGGCAGAGCTGAGATTTGACCAGGCGTCCCACCCCCAAAGCCTGTGTTCCTGACGGCTGGGTCACACTTCTGCCCTACCACAGGTCATTCCACCAGGCTGGGAGCTCCAGACAGGGACATGCCTCTTCCTCTGCTCTGGCCCCAATGGCGAGCACCAAGGTGAGCCCTGAGGACAGGTCAGCAAATGTCAACTGAGATTTAACTCCGAGTACTCTAGCAGCTGGGACCAAAGCCACTGAGTTCCCCAGTGAGAACCTGGCTCCTCAAGGTGGCTAGAGAGCCCATGAGTCAGCCGGACATTTCCAGGCCACGTCTGAGAGACCAGGGCAGGCCAGGAAGATACACTGTGGGCGTGATGCTGGCCGCCTGGGAGGCAGAAACACAAAGAGGAGCAGAGCCAGCGGGCGGCAGAGGCAGGAAGAGACCACAATGGGCCCCGGCTGACCGGAGATGTCCCAATTGTTAGCTCCAGCCTTCTGCCTGTTCCCATTACACTGCCATTCAGGCCTCCTGAACTCGGGGAAAGCTGGGCAGGAGGAGGCAGGCAGGCAGGCTTGAAGAGACCACCAGCCGGGAGCCAAGGGCGAGGGGAGCCACCCCCAGCTCCCAAACTGCTGGGTACTTCTGGTCTCCTTTTAGCCGTGAAGTCTGTCCCCCAACAAGCATTTGTGCACACCCATAATGTCCCATGCCCTGGCAAGGCTCTGGGAGTGTGCCTGGCCAGCAGAAGTGAGGGCTCCTCAGACAAGTCACAAGGGAGTCCTTGGTCCCTAGGGTGGGGTGGATTCTCCACAGACACAGGCTTTTCCGGCCCCAGCCTGCAGGAAAGTCTGGATACACCCCTTCTTTACCATCTTCTCTGCCCCCAATGAATTCTGTGAATGTATTAATTTGAAAGAGACAACAAGAAGCTTAGGAGCCTCAGGTAGAGACCATTGGGCCCCCAGGGGCTGAGGCCGAGTGTGTCTCACGGCAGCCTCACCAGGCTCCTGCTCCAGCACCGAGTCTCCTGGACCCTGGGCAGGAGGGCAGGAAATCAGGCGCCAGGACTCAGAACAGCAGGTCCTACAGCTCCAACCCTGAGAGGAGCAGAGGGGGCACTGGACCTCGGTGAACCTCTGGAGCCATCTCTGGGGGTGGCTGGGGGCACTCCAGGGCCCACTGTGGCCCAGAAAGAAGTCTGCACACCAGAGCACGCACCCTCGGTACCCAGCATCATGGGGCCTTTCCTTCACCCTCAACCATTTCCCCAGAGGCTGCTCCAAACCGTGTCAGGCCTGAGGTCTGCCCAACAAATCCAGAGCAGGCACATCTTCTCCTACGCCAACCCTACGCCAGGCTCTGATGTCCCTGGTCATCTCTTCTGAGGCTCACTGCCTTGGCCACCCTCACTCCTCAGCCCTCTGCAGGCAGAAGTGGTCTTTAGGTTAAGCCTGCATCAGACTGTGGCTGGCACACAGCTCAGCATCTGGAGAGCTCCCCTGCCTCATGACCAGGCGCCCACCACCACCCTGACCACGTGACCCTGTGAGGGACGGAGCGCACCCTTCCTCTCACTTCAAGTTTGGGGTCTGGGGGCTCCAGAGGGGAAAAAACTCCCAGTCCAGGCCCCCCAAGGGGTGGAGACAGGGCAGTCTGGGCACTGTCCAGCTTCTCCCAGCACCCCCAGGGGTCCCAACAGAAGGTGTCAGGACTGGAAGCTAACACAAAAGCCTGGCCCACCCCTTGTTTCACAGTCAGAGAAGCCCATCTCAGAAACGGGAGTGAGGCAGCCAAAGTCAGAACATGAGCAGCAAAGCCAGACGCCCACTCCAGCTACGCCCTCACTCCTCCATCCCTTCCTCCGCCCACCCTGACCTCCACCTAAAGCACAGCCAGTCGGAGCCCCCTTCTCTTCCCTCCCTTCCTGAACCTGGAAGCTGAGCAAACAAGGGTGCTGGGCTTGTGGCCCCAGAACTACAATAACACAGCAGAGTTATTGTAGTTCTAGTTCTAGTCCCCCTCAGGGCATGTCTCTGAGCTCTGCCTGCCCGGGGCACCTCATATTCGACTGGCCTGCGCGGTTTGCACGGCAGGATGGCACGGGCAGCAGAGCCTGTATGCAGGGTGTGCACCAGCGCAGGGAAGCCGGTGCCAGGGAGCAGGGAGGAGCTGGCGGGCAGCAAGGAAGCCAAGGGCAGAGTCCACCGGCGGGCACAGGGGAGCACCCAGAAAGCTGGTGCCTGCGCTGAGGACGCCTCCTACCACTGGCCCTGGGTCAGGCTGAGCCAGCCTGCTCGGAGGGAGGGGCTGGCCCCAAGTGAAGTGACTTGCTTTTCTTTTCAGTAGCCACCCTGGTCAGTGAAAGCCGGAGAGGAAGAGTTGAAAGCCATTTCCCACGGGGAGGGGAGAGTGGAATTTTGTCACGGGGACACAGTGGGCTTCCAAAGAGGAAGGCCAGCCGGGGCACCCAACACGCAGGATGGGTCCACGAGCAGTCAGGAAGTTTCCCTGGAGCAAAACCCACCCAAACAGAATTCTTTCTCTGGGTCACATTTTCCCCCTGTCGCCGGTGCTCAAACAGGTCTGTTGTTGTTTTCGTGATCCAGGAGAGGAAATCGGGCCCCTCTCAGCGCAGACCTCAGGCGCCAAACCAAACTGCTGGACACACACTCCCAGCTGGCTTCCCGTTCCCCGGCGGACCAGGGCACGTGGAAAGCTCTGGGTTAGAAATCCACCCCATGTTCCTGCATGCTGCGATCACCAGCCCCAGCCACATGCACTCCCGCTGCCCCCAGCTCTGCCCAGGGCCATGTGGCTGGCTGAGGAGGGGCCAGTAGTCACTGTCTGCAGGCAGGCCCAGTGAGTGGGGTGGCAACAAGCATTTATCGGGCACCTGTTGTGGGCCAGGCACTTTGCATGAATGACCTAATTGGACCCAACAACCTTCTGAGATACTATTATTATCTTCATTTACACATGAGGAAATAGGCTCAGAGAGGTTGAATAATCTCCCAAGGTCACACCAGTAAGGATGAGCAGAACCAAGATTTCAAGATGGGTCTGAGTCCAAAGCGCTTCCATTCCGTAGCCTCCCTGGAAGATCTCTAGAATAGAACCTCCCAGAGAAGCTCGAGGTCTACAGGAGGCTGGGACGGTCTAGAATGGAACAAGAGTATCTGAGAGGCTGCCAGCCCGGGGGCAGAGCCCGACCAGAGAGCACACTCAAATGACCCACAGCTGGCAGCCAGGCTCCCGAGGGGCTCCCAAACCAGGCATCTGGCTGCCCAGGGCAGGGGCACTCGTGCGTCCAGGCCCTGCCTACCTTCCTGCAGCGTCACGCTCTGGAGGTAGAGGGGATTCCTCAGGACACTGCAGCGACCAGGCTCGTCCTCCTTGGTGAAGAGCAGCAGATCCGAGTAGGCAAACAGCGTCACCTGCACCAGGAAACAACAGACAGAACCAGCTGCTCCGCTGTCCCCTGGACGTGGGCAGCCACAACCTCCCTGGAGGTCTGTGCCACACATCCTCCTCGTCATCTCAGGCAGAACCAGGGGCAGCTCCAGTGTGGCCCAGCCCATGGGGGACCCACTCTGCAGGGCACACAGCCCCCAGTTTTCTTGAGTCCCCTCCTTGAAGTAGGAAATAATGAGCAAGAAGAAAAACAGCCCTCACCCTCTACGGCCAGCAGCTTCTACCAGCTCCTCTCCAGCCAGGTGCCCCCAGACCCTCTCCTGGACTGGCCACGCCCACGCCTAGGAGCTCCAACCCTGAGCCTGCTCCTCCTCCACCTCTTGGCCCAATGGAATGAAGCATCATGTGGCCTGAAGTCATTTAGATACCTTGCAGGTAATTTTAACTGCATTGAGAAATCAGTTCAAGAAAAGCCAGTTACATCCATTCCAATACAGACTTGTACAGAACTTTATCTCCCGTATGTTCTAGCTGCTCCAAAAACAAAGGAAAAGGCTATTTTTAGATATTCTAGGTAAACTGATGGGCATGCTTGGCATACTTTTAAGCTAAAAAAAACCCCAGTGGATCCTCTACAGCCCGGACCGCTTCCACTGCTCTTTGTTTTGGAAATCCTGCAGTGGCCTTTAGTTAAAAGCAATAAAATCCAATTTTAGATGCGCCCAAAAAACACAAAGTAGTATTCATTCTGGGACGTTCTTTTTGCGATGTCAAAAACCGACCCTGCCTCCCTTTCTGAAGTAAGAAAAGTCAGCTTGGAGCCTGCTGAGGACACATGAGCGTGCGCTGGATGGTGAGCCAAGTTTAAAAAGCCAGCGTGCTGACGCGGAGCCACAGGCCGTCAGAGATGACCCGCAACTCCACTTCTCAGATTCTTCCTACAGAAGTCAAGAACACACAAATAGGAACAGAGAAGGAAGTGCTCAGCGGCATTTCTGAAATTAAAAAAGAAAAAAAAAAAAAGACAGAAAGAAAGAAAACATAAATGCCCATCAAGAGAGAATGGATAGAATAAATTACGCTGCTTTCAAATGGCACAATTTTATGCAACTATTAAAAGAACAAAGTAGAGCTATGTGGGCAGAAATAGAAATCTGTCTCTCATAAACTGAAACAGTGCCGGGTGCAAAAATACCTAGAATATAATGCAATTTTGTCAAACAAAACTATAAACCTGTCCATATGCATTTTTTGTGTGTCTGTGTGATGCTGGGGACTGAACCCAGGACCTTGTGCACGGGAGGCAAGCACTCTACCAACTGAGCTCTACCCCCAGCCCTCTCCATATGCATTCTTTAAATATCTAAGGTACTCCCGGCTCTCCTCACTCTGGAGAGTGAGGATTTGACTTTCTTCATTTCTGTTTAATTTGCATTATATTACAGTGGCACTCTGTCCCTTCTGTGAATTAAAAGTATGCAATACACATTTCAAGGCCCACTTGTGGCTTGAGCATTGCACCAACACCGAGATTGAGAGGATCAGGGCCACAGAGATAACAGGAAGATGTTCTTGAGCAGGGGGCCTCGGGGCTCCTGCTTCTCCAGTGGGACCCAGACTCCGGAACTCTGGGCTGGAAGGGATGATAATGGTGATCTTATCCAACTCCCTTCCCAGCACAGCCCTATCATAATACAGCCCAACAGAAGCCTCCATTTGTTGAATACTCTCTACGGATCATCACTTAAATAACGCCGTCACCCTTCACAGATAAAGACCCTACAGCTCAGAGAGGTTAAGTGACCTGTCTACAGCCACACAGCCAGAAACCACTACCCAGATCCAAAAGCTCTCACTATCCAGAGAGAGAGCAAATACGCCTACAACTGGCTTGTCCCTAGATACGCAAGAATCCAAACAGGGACCAAAGAGAGGCGCTAAGGAGACCCAAAATATAAGATAGTAAAGGGAAGGGAAGAAAATAATCAAGAGTTCACAAGGATTCAAGGGGTTGGCTGTCTGGGGAGAGGAACACAAAGTCCAAGCAAAGGAGAGAGGATGCCACAGTAGCAGGAAACACGAGGCAAATACTCAGGCTCCCACAAAACATGTCCCCAAACCAGGGAAATCTGGCTGTCACCTCCAAACACACAGGGAGGCTGTCAGGGGCAGAGTTGGAGGATACAACCTGCCAGGAGCCTAGAAAGTCAAACGTGGCCCAGGCCCAGAGAGGGCTGGACAGAGTGCACAGGGGAGGAGCCACGGGCAATGTGGGAAAAGCCCCCGGCCACTGCCCCAGCCCAGACTCCCAGAGCTGAGAATATGGTCTAGACAGGAAGTGATTAAGGCATGAATGAAGAATTTCCCCAAAGGTCAGGTCAGGGAAAGGACAGAGCTGGCACACAGCAAGCGTGCCAGGGGAGAGCCTCCGACCCCTCCCAGCTCTCGGGCATCGTCCCAGGGCCCACAGGAGTGAGGCCTAGCTCCAGGGTCCAGTACCTGCGGCCTTCCCCCACTGGCCAGGGGTCCTCCAGGTGTCTGGCCCACACAGGCGCTGAGGACACATCTGTTTTCCCAAGGGTCAAGGGTTGAGGGATGGCTTAGGGAATCCTTCCAACCTGGAAGGCTATCCTCCCAGGTGGCCCCAACCAAGCCTTCTCCTGGGAACCTGGCCTCAGGGCAGGATTTGCAGAAAAGACCTCGGTGACTTAGTTAATGGTAAACTCAGTGAGTCAGTGTATAAAAAGAGGGTGTGTCTGTCTCGGGCCTCACATAATTCCTGCAGCCTCGCACAAGGCCTGGCCACGGAGCATTTGAACATCTAAATGAAGCAGTTCCAAACTGCTGATTGACCTCTGGGAACATGCAGCACATCCGTGACTTCCGGGGCAGAGAATGCATGGTGTGGAACTGGATCGTCACAGATCATCACCAACTTGAGCATGCCCGGAGAAGAAATGGGACAAAGAAGCAAACGGGGAACATTTCAGAAATAAAAAATTCTGCCGAAGGTAACGGAGAACTCCCTATAATTTAGACCTCTCCAGAAAACAAAACCACTGCTCAGAGAGGCTGCCTCTCTGCAGATTTAGAACTTCCAGGAAAACCATTAGCTGGAAAGTTACAGAGAAAAGTTAGGCACAGTGGTGGACACTCGTAGTCCCAGCAACTTGGGAGGCTAAGGCAGGAGGATCGTAAGATTTGAGGACAGACTGGGCAACTTAGCAAGGCCCTGTCTCGAAATTCCTTTAAAATATGAATAAGAAGGATTGGGGATTTCACTCAGTGGCAAAGCACCCCCGAGTTCAATTCCAGTACTACAAAAAAACTTCAGAAAAACAAATATCAGGGATGATCACTGAGAGCCCAACCAATACTAGATTCTGTGAAGTTATCCAAATCCCTCTGGAATTGGTTTCTATTTTTAGTCTGAGTAACATGATAGGGTACAACAATCCTCATATTTGGTTGCTATCATACTTCCAGAGAAAGGGATGTATTTATTTTACTTGTCTTCAAATCACTTCCTTCAATCTTCAGGCAGAGGGGGAGGGCATCTCTTGGTTCTAAGGTTCCAGAGATCCACGAGGCAAATATTTTTTGGATGAAGTGTAACTACGGCTGTGGCTTGGCTTGTGTTTCGTTGTTTTTAAACAAACATGTCAGGACAGTGTGGGATCATAAAAGGCATTTCTGAGCTGTACTCAGTTATACTAATTCTGGCTCCATTCCTCACCGGCCTGGAGACCCTCAGGCCCCAGTTAATCTCACCAGAACCTCAGTTTCCTTGTCTGCAAAGTGGGGACGATCATACCTCTCCAGGAGACATGCAAGAGCTAATCGGGAGCAAGTATATAAAATGCATGTGTGTGGTATAGGTATCCCCAAAGTGGGGATCCAGAAAGACCGTAAGCAAAACCAGTGTTGGGGGATTAAGTGCGCGGTCTACCTAAGGAGGCCCCTTGAAGAAAAGCAATGCTGACTTGAACTTGAGGGTTCTGGTCCTCTTGTTGGAAAACAAAACAAAACAAAAAAAGGCGACCTCCTGCTCTAGGGACAATCACACAGAGTGCCCAGATGCTTAGGCTGAGAAGCTTAAGACCCTGCCTTGAATACAGACCACCCTACCGTTCGGATGAGGGGGCGGAAGAAGAGGGGAGAGGTGACAAGAGACCCAGCCGCAGCGCTGGGGCTGCACACAGGCTCCTGCTCCAAGCTTATCTTTCCACTGCCCCATGCAGCCACTCGGCCCCACAGAGCCAGCTCGGCAGTAAGCCCTCTGCCCTCAGCTCCTGGCCCCAAGCGTTTCTATTCCCAAGTAGTTTTCTGGGTGCGAGCTGGAACCTGGCCAGCTCTGGGGAGTGTGGGGGTCAGAAAAGAGCTCCTAGTTGGAGAAGCAGGGGCCAACTCCCGGGAGGAATGGCTTGGCCTGCACCCTGACCCCTGCTGGCAGAGCTGGCGCTCGGGAGAAATCAGACTCATCTCAGAAGAGGATCTGGGATTTGGGTTAATACAGACTCAGAAAATTCGAGCAATTGATGCGCCTCCAGAAATTCTCTTTGGCTAACAGCTTGAATCTTCTCACCGACAAAGCCACTCGTCACAGCTGGGACACACTGCCAGCTCTTCTCCTTTAGAGGAAGCTGGGATAGGGAATGGGGTGTCTTTAGGGGCTGGGGGGGATGTCTAACCATCAAAGATGCCCTAACAGCTTTGAGAGGACTGAGCTGCCCGTCACTGGCAGCGTGCAGGAAAAGGCTGGGTGGCCATTCGGTCAAGAGAACAGGGGGCGCAAGGGGGTGTTAGAAGGGTTGTTAGGTTGTATGATTCCAAGACCATCTGGAGGAGAGAAAAGTGCAGGGTACAGAGGATGGCAAGGACGGCCTGCAGGGAAGGCATGTCACCTTACCTGGGTAGCCTTGTTCCTCCCCTCGTACAGCAGCAGCTCCTCCGACAACAGGAGGGTCCGGGCAGGGTTGCAGAGATCTAGGGGCTGAAACAAGGCAGGGCTCGAGTGAGCGAGCAGTGCAGAGGCCCGGGGCACGGCAGTTTGCCAAAACCAGCCTCAGAGGGAAGACGGCGGCCGGCTCCCTCGCAAGAACCCACACGCCCCCACCACCCAAGGGACGGAAACAGAAAGACAGATGAGCCTGTCCTGTGTAGAACAGTGGCTGTCACCTTCTCCACCAGCCCTCACAGTGACGGCTGTGCTCTGACAGGAAGTCCAACCACACACTTGGTCAAGCAGAGGGGGAGGGCATCTCTTGGTTCCAGCTGCCTGCCCCCTGCTCTGAGCTCCTGGGCCCTGGCAGCCCCCACACCCCGGCTCTGACCTGCTCTCATCTCCCAGGAAGCATCCTGAGAGCCACACCCAAGAGATCTGGCCACTGGAGTCCCTTGGAGGCCTATCCCTGCTGTGCATTCATAACACACTGCCGCCCACTGCCTCCTCCTTGGCCATCAGGTCTCCAGGAACAATTCCCACCCAAACTTCTCACCCCAATGTCCTGTCCCCACGCAGCTCAGAGAGAGCTCCCCATGCCCTAGGTTCCAGCAGGACGTGACCTGGTGAATGTGCATCTGTGACGTGGCTCTAACTATCCAACCTCAAGCCAGGGGCCAGAGGAAAGGTAAAAGTCCCCACGACACGCAACAGCCTCCGCGGATCTGATCAACAAGCCACGAGGCGAGACCTGCGTGAATATATGCTGTCTGGTCCTCATTAAATAGCACTCAAAAAAGGCCAAACAAAACATGTTTTTTAGGGAAACATGCACAGATGGTAAAACTAAAAAAAAGCAAGGAAATGTTCCTCATCAGGCCAGGCCGGTGGGAAGGAAGGGCATTAGGATCAGGGAGAGCAAACAGGCTTCCAGGCTGGCAACGAGGGACAATTCTTTTATCTCAGTGCATATTTGTGACATAATTTGTACATTTAAGTGTTAGGCCCTTTTTAGCTTATATGGTATGCAATTTTAAAATTTTCAAAAAAGTTTCCATTACTTTTTTTTAAAAAATCAATTTTAGTTTTTTATCAAAATTTAAAAAGCAATAAATAACCCCCAGGGATGCCAAGACCTTTGGGTCATAGCCTAAGACACAGACTCACAGACAGACAGAGGCCAGGCCCACAGCCGTGGAGAGAGAGGAGAGGTGTGCTGCTGGCCACAGACGCATGGAAGGCCAGAGGAGGGCAGGGGCAGAAGTGACACCCCTGGGACCGTGTCACCTCTGTGCTGCTGATGAGAGAATGAATGGAATCATCCTGGTACGAAGCTTGCTCAAGTGTAAAGAGGCCTCCACGTGTGTGGCTCAGCCTTTTCACTTCCAAGAATCTTTCCAAAGGCAAAGAATCAGAGAGGCCATTCATGTGCCAGGATTTTCATTACAGAGCAGATTACGATAGCAAAGGAGTAGAAGAGTGGACACGTTATCTGAAGGGAGGACCAGTGAGACAAGCCTGGCAGGTGATAAAGGATTGGGCAACCGCCACACGACCCAGACTCCAGGAGCATCTAGTGAGTGGGAGATGCTCATGCTACTGTATTTGTTTAAAAACAGCAAAAGGATACATAGAATAAAATCTATTTAAAAAAAAAAACACAGAAAAGGCACATCTTGATATTCATACTGGTTATTATTTTGTTGATGGAATAAAGATTATTTTTAAATAATTTTAATAAATAATTTTAATAAATAATTTTAAAAGAAGGTGAGAAAATGCAGGAGAAGAAGAGGAAGGAGGATGAGGAAAGGGAGATCCAAATGCATCCCAGGCCACAAAGCTCTCCTTCAGCCAGTTCTGAATCAATCACTGGCCAAGCCAAGGAACGGATGCCTCACACGAGAGCACCTGTAGGCATTGCCCTGGGCCAGACAAAGAGAAAGCCAGGAGGGAAGGAGGGGGCCCTCTGTGCTCCACGTCCTCCTGGAGACTTTAGCCTGCTCACACGACCTCAGAATCCTGAGCATCCGAAGCCATTTGTCTTTCCCCAAAGGAGAGTCCTGCGTCCTGGGACTCACACCCCACCTGGTGCTCACTTCCTCCTGAGGGGACCCTTGGGGCCAGCCTGGCAAGCTCACCTGTACAAAGATGGGGAACACCAGGACTTTGGGGGCCAGGGTGACATAGGTGCCGTAGCTTGAGTGCGTGGCATGCGGCCTCAGGACAGGGCAGTCCTGGTAGTTCCCGTGGCCCTTCACGGTCTGCACTGTCTTCATCAACCGGGACTTCTTCCCCAGGCCCGTGTAGGACTTTCCTTTACTGGGAGTCCCTGATTCTGTGGACAGAGATGGGGGACAGTGAGGTGTCTCCATCACCCCTGCAAAGGATCCTCTCTGTAGAAACAGGGAGCACAGACTCGGCCAACCCTGGGGCCTGGGCGTCCACCCTGTGCCAGGAGGAGAACACGGGGAGGCCCCAGCAGGGTCTCGGGCCTCAAGGAGTCCCTCACCAACAGGTAAATAAGCACCTCCAGGGCCAGGACAGAGCTGGGAACCAACAACTGTGACCACGGCAGCAGTCCCCACCTGTGACCCCAACCCCGAATCCCATCTATCGGTTTACTGACCTCCCACTTTTAAATACCAATCGAATGCTCATAATTTAGGAGTCAGGGGGCCTGACCTCACAGTCCCACAGGGAACGACGAGTTGGAGCAGGGGCGACTGCCCGAGGCATCTGCACCCCCGCTGCCATCCCAGCCCAGCTGGCCCATCGTCACCCCTGAGCAAAGATCCAATTTCAGCAGCGGTGGCAGAGGCAGTGGGCTATTCCAGGACATATGGGGTGGGTCTGCTGGAGCCACCTGGTCACCACAGTCTAGACTAGGGGAGCCTGCCGCACCTGTTCTTGGTGGAAAGCACCAGCTCAAATCCTGCTCCCCACCTGCTAGCCCGGCGACCTCAGGAGACTGACTTCCTCCTCAGAGCCTCGGTTTCCTCAGCTACAATAACAGGGACAGGCTCATGGGACTGTTGCAAGGGTCAAAGGGGATGCTCTGAGCCAGGTCCCCAGAAGAGCTCCTGGGACGGCAGGTCATGTTTGTCATTGTGATTCCCCCACTTGGAAAAGCAAATTTGGAAATTAAGGCACCCCGAGGAACTCTGGCAAGTCTAGGCATTGTCACAGGTAGGAGGTCCTCCACTTGGCCACCAGCTTACACAGTATTGTAGTCATAAAAACGAGAAAGAGAGTGAGGAACAAGGTCACCCCAGGGAAGAGAGCCACAATGACAAAAGGTGGTCCCTCAGGGACCCCGCTGGACACACACCTCAGCATGAACAAGGAGAGGTGCTGCGCGTGCTTTTATCATGTCCCATCAACTGGGCAGATTAAAAAGCCCAGAGTGACTAAGAAGTCAGAAACTCCTGAACACAGCAGGGGACAGACAACCCCGGAGTAACCAGGCTCCCGGTGCACCCAGACCCCTTCCAAGGACTCCTGCTGCCAAGGGACCCAGCCAGGCCCTCCCTGGCCCCGGCGCCCAGCCCGGTCCCAGCACCCAGGCCGCCTTCTGTCCCAGCCCGCCTTCTGTCCCAGCCCAGGCAGCAGCGCGGGGGATTGACAGGTGGCCTGACCCCGCTGCAACCCAGGGAAGCTCCCCGCCAACGCGAGGCCTGGAGGTTTCACACCTGCTTCCTCCTCCCGCCCAGGGCCCTTCTCACCAAGATGTGAGAAAAACAAGTCAACTGCTCCCCCAAAGAGTGACCACCGATCACAGTGGAATCAGGAGGCGGCACTCCCACCACGATCACTCAAACCGCTTCCTGCTTCTTCAGTGAATCACCTAGAGAGGAGCAGAAAGAACCGAAACCCAGGATGGGGGCAGGAGGCGCAGACGCCCCCAGAAGCCCACATCTCTTTATCAGCTCTGGCCCCAGCGGGCTCTGTACTGCCAGGTGCTGGCCCCTTTGCTGGAAGAATCCACACTAAGTTTCCAGGTCGGCGCGGGATGGAAACTGGGTAACCCCTGAAGCTGCGCGCGTGTCCCAGGTCAGAGACGGCTGTGCAACCCTGAGTGGGCTCCTTTGCCCTCGGAGTCGGCTTTTGCCACCTTAAAGTGGAGGTCATGCAGATTTCTGCCTCACCTGGCCCAAGGCCAGTGGGAGCTCACAGAGGCCTGATGAGAAAGGGCTGGACCAGAACACAAGTGCCCAACAGGTAACCTCAGACCCTCAGCACTGAATACGCAGCACACCTGGGTTGGCAGGAAGACAGAAAGGGCAGCTGGACCTCAAACCATGCTGGAGCCACGGGGCCGGCCTGGAACGACACAGGCTAATCTGGCATGGCCAAGCCTAGACCAGAAGGCAAAACCACCCAGGGCTGACTGGAGGCGATTGAAGCCAACTAGACCAAAATTAAACAAGGGTGCCACCTGCACTTGGCAAAATGGGGGCCCTGGGCCCCAAGTTTCAGACTCCTAAAAGAATCCCTTCCCTCCCTTCCCTGGCCCAGGTGCTCATGGCTATCAAAGAACATTCACCTTGGACCCCGAGAGCCATCAATCAACACCTGGCCCATCATGTTGCCTTCAGAGAGGAAAAGTCTGCTCAGTCCCATTTTATAGACAAGGAAACTAAGGCCTAGTCCAAGGTCATTTGGCTGGAAAATGTTACAAAGCCACACCCAAGTGTCAGCCATGGCCCATAGCCCACCTCCACAACCCCGGTGTTGGGGGGCAGGTGGGCGTGGCTCTCCAGTACCCATTTTCCAAATATTTCTCTTTTTTTAGAACAGTGCAAATTGCAACCCAGTTGTGGAGCTCCGTGAAGGCAAACTCATTTACTTCCCACCTGCTCCTTCCACAATAACGTCTGGCCTAAACCCCCACTTCACCCAGTTATCCTGCAACACCTGCCTCCCTGACCAAACACGCTAATTACACAGCGTGGCTCTGAGCTTCCGAGGCGCGCCCTGGCAGCCTTCCCACCCTGGCAGGACTGGATCTGAAGCCAGGCTGCCTTCACAGGGCAGGGGACAAGGCCGAGAGCACCCGCGGCCAACGGGAACATGCCAAGTACAGCCGGATGGGTGCCCCAGGGCCCAGCGGGATACCAAACCCTATTCAACTCAGGATGGCTCATGCCTCCTGAAAGGCCGGCTGTCTCCTGGCAGCCCGGTCAGGGTCACAGCCTTGACCTCCGCACAGCCCCCGGCATGCTTCAGGGAAGCTTTGTGCCCTGGATTTCACCCCTTCCTCTGGACCCCGGGACTGGAAGCACAAAGACTTAATCCCTGGTAAAGAGCAAAGATCTCCCTAGATACCAGCACGGTTACTGTTATGAAGAGTAAACAAAACAAAGTCAAAAGCTTGATAGAAGGCATTCAAAAAGTCAACAGTGGCATTAACCACACCGTCCTTTCCCCAAGGCTCAGACGGCTGTTCTCCTCTTGGGATCATAGTCTCAAGAGTGAAAACATGGACACATGTGGGGAGTGGCCCTGGAAGGCATCTCTCAGGCTGAGAGGGAACCAACCCCAGGCCGTCCAGCCCATGGTCACATGCCCACAGCAGGTGACATCCCTCTCTCCGGCACCCTTACCCCATGCTCAGAGTCAACTGGGGTCATTCTCCCGTAGTCAATCACTCAACCAAAATTTTACTGAGTATCTGCTGTCTGCCAGGCCCTGGGTCTGGGACCAGACTCAAAGAAATATGCCAGACCCAGCCCTGCCCTTAATGAAGTCACCATTTAGCAGTGACATCCTCACTCTCTAATCTAACGTGCCAACTAAAAAGTTTTTTAGACACTTCTTGTGGAATCATGATCAGAGTCCTCCCACAAGGAGTGTGGCCTCACTTCCAACAGACCAGGCCCAAGAGCACTGAGGTCTCAGGGTGGTGAGGAAGAAGGTGCCTTCCTCAGTGTCCCCGAGCCTGGTAGGAGCCCTTCTCCTCCCAGAAGAAACAAGCACTCTTCCAAGTACCGTCTTCACGCCACCCACGGAGGGGAACAGCAGGAAGCCAGCTGCAAGTGCTAAGGAAAGGCCACTCTCGGGGAAGGAGGCCAGGAGCTCTGAAGGCAGAGGAAGGCTCCAGCATGCCCAGGCGGGCACCACCGGCCACCTGGCCAGTGTCTCCCAACCCTCCAGGCACCAGCTGGACTTCTAAGTCAGAGCTCTGTGGCAGGCATGGAGGACCTAATGGTGTGCTCAGCCAGCCAAATGTCAGGACCCACAGGCCAGGCTTCCTGGGAGAAGGGGTTGATTTTGGAGTCTGGCTTCCATCCCTGGCTTGGACTTGAAAACCAAAGGAGAAGAATCCATCCAACAGCAGGAGACCTCTGTGTGCTTCTAGGACCACCACCTCAGGTCACAGGCTACTGCTCACCACCGTGTACTCATTTAATCTGCCCAACAAGCCTCTGCATAGGAATTACTGACCCCCATGTTATAGGTGAAGGAACTGTGGCTCAGTGAGGAGAAACAACTCAAAGTCACGCTGCTAGAACTCCAACCCAACACCTCTGGGCTCCACAATCCACGACTCCCATCCATGCATCCCAGTTACACTGCCTACAGCTCCCAACAAATATGGCGGCTCAGTAAGACTGGAGGATGCTCGACTGGATGCCTGAGACCTGAACACTCAGTCTCCTAGACGACTCTGGTAGATTCCCCTCTGTTCTTTCTCAGTTTCACTTCAAGGAAAAACGTGATGGTTCATTAAGGGAGAAAAGGTACCCAGAAGAAAGAGGGTCTGCATCAACATGCTGGGCAACCTTGACTCCGACAGAGAAGCTTCTGAACTCTAAGGAAGAGGCTGGGCCACACCTCAGCTGACCTCTGCCATCTGCCCAGACTGAGATGGTGGGCAGCTCACCTTCGGGGATGGTGTCCTCCTGGTACAAAGGCCGCAGCAGCTGCAAGAGAAAGACAAGAGAACAAGCTCAGCCTCAGGAATTGGGCAGGACAGCCCATCAGGCGGCTGGACACCAGGCCCGGGGGACAGGAGGCGCAGCATCTCAGGGCCAGGGGGAGAAACAGCAGTTTTACTGACCAGCTGAGGGAGGGGCCTGGAGGAAACACAGAAGCAGGACAGTCAAACGAGGCTTTATGTGTCATGAAGTCTCACCCCTTGGCGAGACCCCCAACTTCCTTTACGGCAGCTTCCTCCATGGATCACTGGAATAGGGGACCCTAACAGCCACCACCAAGGAGTGCCACTACGGAGGAAGTTTGGGGCAAGCAAGGTTAAACAAGGTTCAGCCACCTCCTGTACTGAAGGATGCTCTCAGAACCTCAAACAGGCTAACGTGCATGGGGAGCCCCCCAAAAGGAAAGAGGGTATGGGATCCCCAAATGTGTGTGATCTCAGAACACTTTTTTCCTAGAATATCTCATGGTTAATGTTTGGGGGACGCGATTCACCGTCCCACCATGTAAGCATGCAGCTCTGCCTTCACACCTCCTGCCACAGGGGGCCCATCCCCTCAAGGCAGCCCTTTGACTACGGAAAAGCACAGACGAGGAGAAAGCTCTTCCTTCTTGGGAGCTGACACCTCCAGCCTGTGCATCCCCTGGCCCTGGCTCAGCTGCATCCTCCACCCAGGACAGCCTTGCAGAGGCCAGAGCCAGGGCAAACCCATCTCCCTGCTCGATGCCCCCAGCCCCTTGCAGGCTCCTCTCGACACCTCCTACCCTCCTACAGGGACCCAGCCAGGACTCTCCCCATGTCCATACCTGGCTCCCAGGGTTCAGCGGGGCCAGGATGATGTAGTTGGGGTCGGTGGGGGCAGTGGCGCGGGACAGCGCAGGTAGGGTGTGCTGGCCCCCACGCTTGGTCACCTCCGTGTAGCGCTCCCAGCCACCGAGCAGCAGCCCATCTGAGCTGTCGCACACTAGGTGGCAGCTGTGGCGCTGCTCCGGTCGTGCCTGGGCGCCGTGGGTGCAGTTCTTCTCCCTCTTGTTGGGGGGTGACTGGAGGTCATGCGTTGACTTGCAGGAGGCCCGCCGTAGGACCCCGCCATCTGGCCCGGGCTTGATCTGGGGAACCATGCGCCACACCAGCAGAATGATCTCACCAGGACAGCTCCTGAAAGTGTCGGGGGTTACACAGAGAAGTTGAGTCTGGGGGAGACCAAAATAAGCCAGGATGGAGGCTGCAGAATCAAGAGGAAGAGGAGGGGAGGAGGAAGCAAACCCAGGGGCTAAGCGCCTAGTGTCAGGGTCCAAAGGGACGCAAGAGGCCATTTAAAGCAGATATAGCAAAAGGGTCAGCTCGAACCTAAGCTCACTCAATGGAGGCTGAGAAGGACCTGAGGGCAAGGCCAAGTTCAACAGGAAAGAGAACCATACCCAACTCAGGCTGCCTGTTGTAGATACAGCAAGCAGCCACAAGACAACTACCCACACTCTCTTCTCTAGAGAGTCTAGAAGCAAACCAAAATGGAACCATTAAGGTCTTACCCCAGGGGATCAAACTTAAGGGGCCCAAACATTTTTAAATTTTTTAATTGTGCAATTGAAAAATTTACAACGTCTACACGCCCTAAAACAGAGGGCTCAGCTCTTAGGTGGCAGAAGTACTTAGCTGAAGTGGAAAGCAACCCCCTGGAGCCATGTCAGGAACCACGAGGTCTGCTTAAGAGCTTCTCCCTGCTGTTGGCTCTGGGATCCAAAACTGCTCTGAGCCTGAACCTTCCATTTTCAGGGCAAGAACCGGATTCCCCGAGGAGCACAGTGAATTGCTCACAGCGGGACAAAGAAGGGAACAGCGAGAACAAGACAGGACAAGGCAATGTGCCCAGAGCTGGGGTGGGAGACATGTGCCACCCGCTGCCCCTGTCACCGGATCTCATGTGCCAGCTCCACACATTTCCAGTGCTCCACCGGCCTTTCATTCAGTTGCAACACCGTGTCCAGCTGCTGCAGCCCTGCCCGCTCTGCCGGGCCTCCTGCAGGGACAAAAGAAAATCTATTCAGGAACCTCTAAAGACCCCCTCAAAAGACCTGGAGTGCTTCACTTCCAGGGTGACTTCAGACAAGAACCGCCCTTTTCCTCTCTGTGTCTTTATCTGGGAAATGAGGGGCCAAACTGAGTGGCTTTCCAGGTCCTGGAAGGGAGGTACCCTTTGCCCTCACCTCCTCCCTGCCTGCCCCACCCAGGGCTGGCTCACCTCTCTGCTGTCCTTCCCTCCGCAGGGCCTCCCCGCCCACTGAGAACCCTCTCTGGGGCCAGGCTCACACTCCCCATCCATTGTTCCCACCTCATTCATTGAGTGCCAACTGCATGCCCATCGCACTGATCACTGAGCCTTGGCTTCTGCCCATTAAGTGTACCCCCTGCGATGAGCAATCTTTCACTTGTTAAAAGTAAAGAGAAGGGATGGCTGATTCTACGTGCTATTCAGGCTTACAGGAGGAGAACTGCATTCCAAACACAGTCCATAACTGACTCTCATTTTCCTATGTAGCCTTTACAGAAATCGGGCTCAGTTCCTATTCAGAATGACTGAGAAACAAAATACAAAAACTTATTTTCATTTTGATAAAACAACAACAACAAAAAGAGTGGATATATTTTCATAAACTTCAGTTTCATCCGTGGTCATTTAAAAATATTATTCTTTTCATTTTGAAACCCAGAACTCTTTGCTCCAGCTTGGAGCTCCCTGTCCAGTTCCACCCTGTCTGCAAAGCCCGGGTGCTTGGCAGGACAGTAGAGCCCTGAGTCGCTCACTTACCAGAATCCACAGCCTGGACTCGGACTGGAGAGTCGCAGCAGATGGTGAAGCCAAAGCCGTCTTTGCCCCTCGGGATGGTGATCTAGGACACAGCCCTTCCCAGTCACTCCCAGGAGCCGCAAGGCTGGGAAGCCCACAGGCCCCACCCAGAGCCACCCTCCTCTCCAAGGAAACCAGAGCTGAGAAGGAGCACACTGTCCCAGGCTCAGCCCAGGCACCTTGACGCTGGGTTGTGGGCCAGGCAGGGAAACTGAGAGCTCAGGCGGGGAGCCCCCCAGTCAAAGCTGGAAGGGATGGGGGTCTGGGAAGGGGATACCTTGCCCAAGTCAGCCCCAGCAGCCCCAGCTCTCTGCCCAAGGAATCCCTGAAGCTGCGTCTCCACCTTGCCACGTCCCACGTTCATCACATCCCATCATGCTTTCCCAGAGACCATGCGTCACCACAGGGCTGGCCCTGGGCTAAGAGTCCACAGGAAAAGTTAACACGGGGGCTGCCCTCTCAGCACCCAGGGGAGGGAAAACAGGGTCACACTTGCTCAGTGTCCGGTCAAGAGTCAGAGGAAGAACTTGGGGTTCTTGGGCACTCATGGCTAAGGGCCCATGGCAGTCAATGAGCTCTCAGTGCAGGGGCAGGTAAGGGAGGGCACAGCTGGGCCTCCCAGCTGAACATGAACTAGCCCCTGACTCTGCTGAGCCTGCAGGGCTGTGTGCAAGGCAGGTCCACAGTCCCGACTATCAGAAGTGCCAGGAAAGGGCCCTGTCATCCGTGTCCTCTCTTCAGACCCACACAGCTATGGAGCTCCTATTGCACACCAGGCTGGGCTGAGGTTCAGAGGCGCATGGCCTTGGTCTCTGCCCCCCAGAGGCCACAAGAGTACATAGATCTCTCCAAAGAGATGCAGGCATGATAAGCAAATAGGAGGACTGTGCTTAAACAATCCTTTGTGCTTCAACTCCAGAGGTCACCCTTACGCATGGTAGGAACTCAACAAAGGCTCAGTCCACAAGGGCGGCCCAGCACGTCGCACCCGCAGAAGGACACTGTGTGCAACGTGGCGCATGGGCTCCCTTAAGCGTCACTACACCAGAAAAAGGCAGAGGTGAAACTCAGAGGGGCCCTGCAGAGGCACAGAGCTATCCTGGGCAGCTCAGCAAGCTGGCAAAGGTCAAGGGCACCGCTTTCTGGGAGACCGCTGGCCCTGACCTTTAGGGGTTGTCTCTTCTGGGCTGGGTGCTTGCATTCACCTGCCGGCTGTCCCAACGCCAGGCTTGACGAAGGGGAGTGGGTGGAGGCCCAGAGCCACCAAGGCCCTTGGAAGCTGGAGGGGCCCCTGAGGCTCTGCTTCCCACCAGCCCTGGGCCTGGATTCAAAGTGAGTTTGTAAAACAGGAAATCTGACAGACAAGGGGAAGGGGGAGGGGGCAGGAAAATACCCTGTTCCCATAAGAATTCTGGGAAAACACGCAGCTAAGACAGGAAGGGGAAAAAAATGGAAAGAAAGAAAGAAAAACAAACCCAGGAGTGAGTGTGGAAAGCTAGAGGAAAGGGGTAACCTCTAACTTCCCAGCCCTCCTGAGGCCCAGAGAAGACTCCGGGGCCTCCTCCACTCCACGGGACCAGCTCCAGCCCACACAGCAGCTGGATCCCAAAGCCCCCGGGCATTTCCCCAGTCCTATCCGATGACGGTACCATGGCCCAGCACCCTGGGGCTCTGGGCTAACAGGTTTTGGGTGGTGGCCCCAGAGCTGAGTCTGGAGAGAAGGAATGTGCTCCCACATTCTGGTGGCATCGTCCAGGCAGGGACAGGAGCCCCTCCACCTTCCTGAGCACCAACCTAAGAAGAGACAGCCCAGAGAACTGTCCAGCCCTGTGGGAGCGGAAGCAGTGGAAGGAGAGGACACAAACTCCTCTCCTGGCTCAGCAGGAGGGGTGGGGCTGCCGGGGAACAAAATGATGCTCTGTGCACTGTGATCACCGGCCATATTGAGAGGGTGCTGTCCAGAGCCTCCCATTGCTGTGGCCCCAGGGGAATGCAGTTTAGCATGCCCATTTCACAGAAAAGAAAACCAAGGCCCGAAGAGAGAACGTGCTCAAAGTACCCACCTCGTGCCCAGCCCTCCTCTCTGACCTCAGGACTGGGGGGGAAGCTGCAGAGGGCTGTCCTGACTCTGGGACAGTTTGCCTCCCTGAGGGTGGTTTTTGCTCTTTACTGCCCAGGGCAGGAAATGCTACTGCCCCCAAGTCTCAGTCAGGCCTGCACCTCACTTCTGCTCTCCTGCCTGGTCCCTGATGCTCTTTTATGCCCGGACTTCAGTCCCCAGCTGCCACCCTAGAAGAGCATAGCAGACACTGAGCCAAGCATTTCACACGTATTGTCTCGTCCACTCCAACAGCACCACCACTGGGTTTTACCATCTAGGAACACGGAGCTTGAGGCTCAGAGAGGGAAAGTGCCTTGCTCAAGGGCTGCAGCTAAAGGGGGACGATCTCAATTTGAACCCAGGTCCCACAGAAAGCTTAGCCATCTCCACTCTGCAATGGTTTCTAAAACGGGAGCTGTTGGAACGCTGAGCCCCAGGGCCCCAGGTACAGCCCACATCAGCGCCCGTGTCCCCTCTGACCATCAATGCACCCTGTTCTTCTGATCCATAGTCACAAGGAGACCAGGGACTCCATAACATCCCAGTCAGGACTCTCCCTGTCTCTCCATTGTGCCACCCAAATGCTAGTGTCACAGGGGCTACTCTTCCAGGCTACAGGAGGTCAGGGAGCACCAAGTAAGGCTGACGAGGCAGGACCTGAGAGCTGGGAAGAGGTGGTGGAAGAGAACTCCAGTTCTCTGGTAGCAGGTGTGGACATAAGGGGTCCCTCTGGGCATCTCCCTGGGACCTACATGACACATGTCAGGGGATTCAGGACCCAATTCCAATCTGGTTATCAAATCAAGTGGAGGAACTTCCCTAAGTTTTAAAAATCAGAACAATTTCTGGACTCCCTTCTAGCTTGGATAATGCCAAATTCTGGACATCTCCTCCTTACCCTCACTGGCTCCGTTCCATTTTTACAAGGGAAAAAAGCCTCAGCACAGTTCCAGAGGAATTTGGATCATCACCCCACCCTCCAGACCAAGAAGCCAGACCCTTTCAGTAAAGTTGGATTCCAAAACCACAGCTGAAGGGGTCCAGGCCGGCAGGAGGAGAGTCACACATGTGTGCATGCACACAGAAACATCCTACCCGCACACGGGCGCACGCCACACACACAAAGGGCGGAATGGGCACCGCCATCCCCCGGGAAGTGGGGAAAGTTAGCAAAGTCACAGAAGCCGCCTCCAGAAAGAAGCGCCCAGCTGCTCAACCACCAAGCCGCTTGCCATCTTGGACTCCAGATGCCTCTTTAACCCACACCTCCTCCCCAGATAAAAAGAACAGAAAACCAGCTCAATAATCTCTCCCCCAACCAGTGGTTAGGAGGCTGCAGGCAGCAGAGCCTCACTGCCCCTAACACAGGACTGTAGGTGACAGGCTGGGCCTTGGTACAGCTCCTGCCCCTGTCCTCCCCCAGACTGAAACGAGCATGCAGGAAGGAGAAGGCGGATGGGGAGAGGTCCGCTGGAGTGAGCCCCCACCCCTGTCCCCCGATTCCCCACAGTGCCCCCCAAGGGGCCAAGCACCCACCTGGCGGTAGCGGCGCTCCGAGCACACCTTGCAGAGCCCATTGAAGCGGTTCATGGCTGCGGGTCCTGCCTCGGCTGCCGCCCCATGAAAACCCAGCTCTCCCCCCAACAGCGGGAGCCCGCACTGCGCCCGTCAGCCTGGCATGACCGCCCTGGGAAGCCGCCCCGCAGAAGAATGGCAGGAAATCACCTCTCACCTCCCCAAGCCCTGTCTGCGCCGTGTGCCTCTGCAGATAAGCCCGAAGGCTTCCTGAAACCTCAGAATGACAAGGAAGAGGGAGAGTTTTATATTAAAATTCCTGTCAACTAGTTAGTATTCCCCGGGCCTGGCGGGGAGAGGGCGCCTTTGTTCTGGCCGCATTCTCCGCCATGGGCCACTTTGTGATTCCAATGTTCCCACAAACACCCCTCGCTGCCTGCCCAGGAGAACCCAGGCAGAAAACACGACTCCGCGACAACACCGCCTCCACTGCAAGTGCCAGGTCCCCAGCAGCAAATCCAGGGGACTAACCAGAGAATCTGAGGGAGCCCGGGGAGGGGGAGTTGCACCTGAGGACATCCCATCTCAAAACAGGGAGCATAGAACATTTGGAGCCTACCACTCAGGGGCTCCTGAAGTCACTGTCTTTGTCCACATGAAGGGTCTGATGGCACGTGGACCATAATGGCAACTTGGAAGGGGTTTCCAAATCTTCAGACCACCCAGCCCCCTGTTCTTATCAACAAAGAAACTGAGGCCCGGAGAGGCTGTCACGTGGCAGGGCAGACCCAGGCTCTATCTCTGGCCTGTGGTTCCAGAATCATATACTGCAGAGCAGCACAGTATAAGCCTGGCCCTCCTGCCCACCTGGGAGCCTGAGGAAGCCCACCCACCCACTCATGACCTCATGATAGAGGCTGCCCCATGTTTGGTTGCAGTGTGACAGGTGACCCAGGTTTTTGGGCCTCCATCTCCCCACCTGCACAGCGTAGAGATGGATGGGTGAGACCTGGCAGCTTTCCCAGGTCTCTGGCAATCACACCCTCTTTGCTGAGCCCTGTGGACACCTTTGAGTGTACAAACCCAGAAAAACCCACACACCTCAGAAGAATGTTCCCAGGGGCTTGGGCTTGGGCACAGAATCCAGCATGAAGTAGGACTTTCCTAAGTCACCAAGAAACCTGCAGTGTCTATGCCCATGCAATTCCCATGAATCCCAAGGGTGGGTCCCCCAGGACTGTCCTTTCTGTACTTGGTGCACAGAAAAGGAGGAAAGTCTTTGCAGCTACCCCTAAAGCTGGACGAAGCTTTTCAATTCCCAACAAAAACCACATAAATCACTGGCAGGTTTCTCTCACAGCAGGCTGTTCAAAATGGGGGCAACTAGACATGTGTGCAGGGTATTGAAATTACTTTAAATAAAAGCCGACATTCAGCTCCTCAGTCCTGCTAGCCACATCTGAGTGACAACTCAATAGTCACAGGCAGAAGTGACCACCACCCTGGAAGGCACAGGGGTGAACTGTGCACACCACAAGGCCAGACCTTGTACATGTGCATGGCTCTGTCCCAGCACTGGGCTAGGACCACACAGGTATAGACACATCATGAAGGAGTGAAGACCTAAATGCATTGAGTCAGTGAAGTGACGGTGCCTTGTGGATTGCAATACACCTACGTGTCAGATGTTACAGACCCTGTCAATGGTCAATGGCGGATCTTCCCAGTTGTCCTCAGGTAGGAAACTGCACAGTGCAGTGCACACGGGGCTTTAGAATCAAGGCTGCTCCCTGCTCACAGTAGGCCCAACTCAAGATGGTGGTATAGCCACAGTGCCAGGAAAGCAGAGGGTTTGGGGCCTCTGAGAAGGGAGGACTTGGCTTCCAGAAGCTCAAAGTCAGCAAGATCCATAAGCTTCCGCTTCCAGGAGTGAGAAGTCTGTCCCTTTCCCCGCCATGGCTGCAATCGTGAACAACCTGAGAAAAGCATCTATTTCCTATGGTGCACTTTAGAAAAGTCAAAAGATACTCCCAGTGTTCCCTTCAGGTCAGGGGATATAGCTCAGTGGTAGCTCTCTTGCCTAACACGCACGAGGCCCCAGGTCCAATCCCCAGCACCACAAAGAGAGAAAAGAAAAACTGCCTTCAGAATGCAGAAGTTGCTGTGGAGTCTCAAACACCAAACGCCGCTCTCTTTGGAGGTCACCAAGGATGAGGGTCTGACAATCGAATCGGAGCCCCTGGAGCAATGCTCAGGTGCGACCAGGTGCCCCCAGCCCTACCCAGTCCTATCCCTACCTACCTCGAATTCCTCCCCATTGTCGGGGTCCCCACATCCTGGCATTCTCAGCAGCGGGTCTGGAAGGGGACAGAGCAGAGTCAGAAAGCTTCTGCTGACATGTGAGGGCCCTTTCCGCAGACCACCCAGAGGATGAGGCTGGGCAACAGGCCAATGTCACTGCCAGGCCCATTCCACGACCCCCTGATATAGAGATGCCGGGGGCTCAAGCCAGGCAGGGCTCTGGAGCCGGGTCTACAAAACTTCCCAGAACAGGACTGAAGAAGACACAAAACCCAAGTCCTGAGCCTCAAGGCTCCTGGCAGGTCCCACACAGCCTGTCGGCAGAGGTGGGCACCCCAAGGTCAGCAAGGCAGCCTAGAGGAATACCTCGAGACATGGAGCCTGGGAAGGAGCTGGTCAGGAAGAAAGGAAGCCCTCCAGGAGCAAGGTGGGGGGCTGGACCACGGGGGGCCAGGCCTCCAATCCCCTCCCAGGAAGCTTCAACCTGATAAATAAAGATGCCGTGGACAGGAGCCGGCCTGTAAGCTGGATTCTAGTCTAGAATTCCCTGGACCCAGTGGCTGGACAACGGCCTGGAGTGGCAGATTCCCTAAAGCCCAGGGACCAGTGCTCCCACAGGCAAGGAAGGAGGGGGAAGCCTGGGGGGGGAGCTGCAGGGGTGTGCTCACACCTCTCAGGGGCCGCAGCCGCCGTCTGGCCACCTTCAGGTGCTTGGTCCGACCGAGGTCCTCCCCCAGAAGGTAGTACCAGCCGCTGACCTCCTGTGATGAGAGAAGGAATGACACTTTCAGACAAAGGAGGCAGAGGGCACAGGTCAGGCAGTTACCAATTGCTCTCAAAGAGTGGCAGCTGGACATGCCCCCTTCAGAGACACCGATGTCCAGCCTCCTGCCTCATGGCCACCACACCTGCACCTCCGGGAGGCCCTCCCCTCCCTAGAGCTCCAGCAGAACTGGAACTCCCTCTGTGGGACTCCTCAGCTTCTTATCCCTGGAGGACAACCGTGCGGTTGTCTCCTCCCCCACCTCCACCCCTGCCCCAGATTGCACACAGGCTCCTGACATGGTTGACACTGAGACTAGTACACAGTCGGAGCCCAATAAATGTTTGACAAATCAGAAGGAGGTGAAAGCCATATGGAGGGGACAAAGAGCAGACATTGGAGGCCCCTGTGCAGTCTCCAGGCTCCCTAGGGAACATCTTTTCTCATGGAAATGAATCCCAGGCTGGCAGTCCAAAGATCATGGGGCCCTTAGGCAAGGTAAAGGGTCCTCAGCCACCCCTACCCCACAGACTTCACCCCCAGGACACAAAGCTGGGTGGCAGGGCCATGCAGCAGGTCACCAGGACACCCAGGGATGTGCAAACGGAGTGTATTCCTGCCCTGAGCAACAGCTGCAGTCTGGGAGTGGGCAGCAGGGCAGAGCAGAGATGACAGCTGGTGACCCAGAGGGAAGGCCTCCAAGTCCCATGTGCTCGCCCAGTCCAAGGGAAGCTCCAGAGATGTGCCGCTCCCTCCTCCTCTGAGCACCTGCTAGACCAGAAGCATCAGACCCAGCAGACACATCAAGAGGACCCCTGTGTGGGACCACCAGGAGCACCTGCCCCCTCTTCCAGGGTGAGCCAGGAGTGCTCTGTTCCTCCAGGGACCTGCCAGTGACCTCAGCAGACACCAGATTCAGTGCCTCCAGGGAGGCCTTGTAGCTACCTAACTGCTGTCTGACAAGATAAACCAAGAAGGAGACCCAAGCCCTCAGGTAGGTAGGTGACAAACAATGCTGTTACTGGGGACATTGGCACGTGCCTTGTGGGGGGCACCATGCCACAGAATCTCTACCCAAGGATTTCCAGAGAAGGCCTGCCCGTGCCAGGCTGGGCCTGGGCAGGATGATGTACTGGAAACCCCCCAGGACCCACCTTATCCGGAGCCAGGAGGGACTTCACCCCGAAGCTCATGCAGCCGATGAGTGCACATTTCCTGGGGAACAGCAGAGGACAACTCAGTGCCCGCACTGGGCTGCACCCAGAGTTCCACTACCAGTGCACACAGGGTTGCCCAGTGCACAGGACTGAGCGCTTTACCAGCCTAGGTTCACTTGACTCTTGAGATGCAAGGTCAGAAGTTCTCTCTGATTTAGAGAGAAACACAAGGCTCAGGGTTAGTACCTTCCCAGGGTCACAGGACTGGCGAGTCCTGTCACAGGAACCTGCTCGACCCGACCTCTGCCCACTTGGTCAGTGACCAGAGGCCTAGAAGGTCTCTATAAACATACTGTTAGGATCCTCTGGAAAGGGTGGAAGCTCACCCCCTAACAGGCTTAACCAAAACAAAACTAGCCTCTCAAAGGCAGCCAAGCTAAGTGAGGGGTGGGGTGCAGAATGCTAGGGGACTGGCCCTCAAAACTGGTCCACCTGCCTGCTAATCCATGCTCTGAACCACAGCCACCCACGGGGCGGAGGCCTCTGCCTCCTGCTGTCCAGTCACTAGCTCACTCCACTACTCCTCCAGCTGTGGCTCCAGCTGTCACCCTTCCCTTTTGCCCTCTCCCATCATATTCATAATCTACTCAAGGAGGACAGCGCAGTCAACCTGATAAAGCATCCCTTCCATGTCTACCTCCCCAGCCCACCGCCCAAACAAATCCTCCTTCCTACTGGGAGGTAGCCAAGGCCACACTAGCAGGAGGCAGTTGCAGTGGCTGCCTAAGTGTCAGATGCTCATCTGAGCTGCCACTCAAAGTTGTCTGGACTTTGCCAACATCGTCCTACTGATTTTGCTTTGTTTGCAACACATTCAAGAGAAAGCCGGCTGGTGTCCAGGTGCCCACACTGCCTCGCTCTACTCTTGTCTCATGCTGGGCACGGCTGAAACGAGAAATCTCCAGGCCAATGCATTAACTGTAATCAATGCAGCCCTGCCCTTCTCTCCAGTAAGTGGAAGTTTCGTTCCCTGGTGTTAGAGAATGCTAAATGGTTAATAGCCTCCCTTGAGCTTTGCTTCCTACTAAAGGGGCCTCCAATGATTTCAGGATCATTCAGGCAGAGCAAATTGTCACAATTAATGTCCACAAGCAGGAACTTTTCACTGAGTGTTCTTCAATTAGCCATTTCTGCAGGCTGCTTTTGAAAAACCTCTGGAGGAAGAAAGACTTCTTTTACAAGCAACCTGAGCATACGGCAGTATACTCCAATATACTCGTCAGCTTACAGGCTTGGGAACAAGGGCTGGAGAGGCCTGAAGTTTCTGGAATCAAGCCTTGGTCCTTTCTGACTGCCAAGGTCTGAGCTCCAGGCATGGTGCACTCTGTGAAGGTTTGACAAATGGGAGAATCCATCATGCCCATGGTTGGCAGGCACTGGGCAAGAAGCCCCAGCATTAAGGAAACAAGACAAACAGGCAGGAATTTACACAGCAGCTCAAGACAGCAATACAGGGTGAGATTGACAGATGAACAAGCACAGGCAACAGATTCTGAAGGCTCAGGGGGCAAGAGGTAGTTTAGGACTGAGATGCTTGCAGGAGACCTAATGAGTGGAGCCAGAGAGAGAGAGAGAGAGGAAGAAGAGGAAGAGCATCTCAGGCAGAGGGAACAACCCATACAAAGGCTCAGAAGTCACTTCATGGAGCACACAGAGGGAACAGAATTTAGTTTACTTTTGAGCATAAGGGAGAGACACACTGCAAGATGAGAATGCATTATTTTCCAGGGCACGCATTTCAAGTCTCATTCTCAGGGACTGAAACTGTTTTTCATTACAGGGTTATACAATTTAATGTCAATTTGTTTTTTAATTTGATGGCTTCGGTTGAGCACATATTTTTCCATTCATTTCTTTCCTTAGGTTTCAGTATCCATCACTGGCCACAAGCTTTTTGACATTAGATCACTGTTCTTGGCATGGAGACTTGTTTATAATGGATTAAGGGAGAGGGGACACTTACAATGCCCAGGATGGTGCTTGACATATAGCAAGTAGACCCTCCATAAGTGTAGCTACCGTTAGCCTAAAATGTTATGTTCTTGAATTATAAATTTTTTTTTAAAACTTGGTGCATGCCATTACACTTCTCTCCAAGATGGTTCTCTGACCACAAGTTCTGAAAAATGCTATAATTCGTACTAGAAACTTCTGTTTGGCTTTCAGCATATCATCAAACAGAACTTCCAAATAGCTTAGTTCCATATTCAATGTGATTGAAGAATTATCATTATTTCTAAGTGTGATTATGACACTGTGGTCATGTTTTTTAAAGACTTATTTTTAAGAGATATACACTGATGAACTGTCTGGTGTTTGCTTTCAATACCACGGGAAGAGGGCAAAATGGACAAGGCATAGGTGACAGAAGATAGGCCATGAAGGAATGAAACTGGGATGAGATTTCAAGGGTTTATTATATGATGTCGCCTACCTTTACATATGTTTGAAATGTCTATAACTTTTTTAAAATTCACAGAACCTTGAAGCTGGAAGTAGAGACAACTGCATTTCACAGGCAAGGACACTGAGGTCCGGGCCTTTGCCAGCACTTGTTTGTGGATCATCGTGTTTTCTAAGTGAGTCCCTGGACTCACTAAGACAAATGGACTCACTTACGATCATGAGGAATCTTGGACCCAATGTTTCCCTCTTACCTCCTACTGGTTTCAGAATGTGACCACCACTCATGTGGCTGGAACGATTTATATCAAACTCTGCTATTCGTGCTCAGAGAAGCAGCCTGAGGCCTGAAGGGGATGCTTCTGACTCAGAAAGAGCCACTTCAGAGTTATTTATCACCGAGGCAAGGTCATCGAGGGCACAGACACAGGCTTGGGGACATACTGCCTGCATTTGCAACTTGTTCTCATTGCATTTCAGCTGTGTTACCTTGATGAAAGGTCCATAAACTTGAGCAAGGTCCATAAACTTTCTGAGCAGGTGAGACCCCCAGGGAGGTCTATTCTTGCCTGTAAAATACCTACAATAATAATACCCCACCTCCTAAGGTGGTGTGAGGATAGATTAGATAATGCCTGGCATGGGCGTGCTTAGGGTAATGTCTACTCATAAGAAGTGCCTGATAAGCATTAGCTGTTACATAACCTCAGGCCGAGTCCTGGGCCTTTGTGGGCCTCAGTTTCCTCTTCTCTGAAGCCAGGGACAATATTCATTCATACCCTTCAGGGCTGTTATGAGGATTAAACAAGATAATGTATGGAAAATGCTTGGCACAGAGAATTTAGCAATCGCCTGTTTCCTTCCTTCCATAATTGTCTTTCACGTTAAAAGGTTCAATGTCCATCCTTCAGAGAAGCACAATTTGATCTGGGAGCATTCAGCAGAGTCAAAGTTTCCTGTCAGCCCTGTCTGTCCCTCACCCGGCTCAGGCCTCCTCGTTCAGAATGGACCAGTAAAGGACAGGCCACGGGGGAGACACCAAGACTGAGGCCCCACTGCGGCTGCCAGCTTCTGCAGGGCCATCTGCTCACAGACAGGCCTGCCTGAGCCTACCCTGTCCCTCTTGAGCTTTGGGCTGGGACTGTGACCACAAGTTGGGCTGTGTTTCATTTAATAAGGAATCTCATTTTCCCAAAATAGGCAACAAGTGGAGACACGGCTTGGGTCACGCTGCCTGGCTGGGGCTGACTCACTTTCCCCTGCCTCACTTTCTCTTCCAAAAAACGTGACCTGCGACCTGTATTACTGGCTCCTTCACGTGCGGCTCCGCCCCTTGCTGTGTTCTCCCGTGGGAGGCGCGGCCCGGTCCTTGCCTCCACCCAGTGGGCGAGCCGAGCACCCCTCTGCCTCTCTGACACTCCTGTGCCTCCTTAACTGTCTCTGCATTTCCCCACCCCTTCAAAGACACAGTTCTGACCCTTGGCCTTGAACAAGGCCCCTCCCTGACAGAATGTCACCCACCTCCTGTCTCCACCACCTCTATGTGGCTCTGGTGAAACCTCTCTCTCCCTTGTACTCCAGGAATAAAGGTTTCCCTCCTCGACCCCTGCAAAGCTGACCCACCTTCCCCTCTAGTACACTCTGCCTTCGCTGGGGACACCACCAGCCACCCAAGAGCTAGCTTTGACTTTTGCTGCACTCACTGGCAAATAACCACTAAGTACTTACTATTAACTGAATCTCTCAAATATGTCTTGCTTCTATTTTCTTCCTCTCATCTCTGTCACCTTGACCTACCAAAGATGTAACCAAACCACAGATCTAGAATGTGCATCTGTCATTCCCTGGCTTGATACCCTTGGGTATCTCCCAAGGACCAAAGGTTCCAGCTGCATGCCCTTGTTTAAAAGAAGAGTCCTAGGCCCTAACCATGAAGATCCAGATTTAGTCCATCTGATGTGGCCCCTGGGAACCTGTGTTCCTCCCAAGCATCCCAGATGATACTGATGCACATCCAGGATTGAGAACCACTGGCCATTAGGAGAAAACCCACTCTGCACAGAACCCATAGGAGCATCTGGTTCAGCTACACTACCCCTTCATCTCATCTCCAGCCAGGGCCTACTTTGCATTTAACTCTCCAGCAACACCAGTGAGTCTGCAGGTTACCTCTCACTCTGCTCCTGCCCTCTCTGTGCTTCTGGTTCTCTCTTCTGTCTTTTTGCTTGCATACCCATGAGGCAATATGGTGTTAAGTTTAAGGAATCAGATCCATCAGTAGGCTGAGGCAAGAGGATTGAAGGTTCAAAGCCAGCCTCCACAATTTAATGAGGCTATAAGCAACCTACTGAGACCCTGTCTCAAAATAAAAATATATTTTTAAAAAGGGCTGTGGATGCACCTTCATGCATGCATCCATCCATCCATCTGCCTTGATCCCTACCCTAGTTCTACTTCACTGTATGGGTGATCTTGAGTAAGGTACTAGCCTTTCGTAGCTTCAGTTTCCTCTTCTGAAAATTTAGGAGAAAATTGTATCTTCAGAGTTTTTATAATAATTAAATGAGATAATGTACTGCCAACCCCTAACTCAAGGTTGGCACCCAGCAAATGGTTGCTCTTGTTATTAATGTGATGTCCCCTTCCTCATGCACACCATTAAGTCTATCATTGATCCTCTAGTGAGCAGGACAGTCTCTGATAGATCCCATGAGTTCTCAGTGCCTAGAATGTTGGTACCAGAAAATGGCAGCTGAATGGATAGATGAATGGATGGACAGATGGGTGGGTGGATAGATGGATGGATGGATGACTGAGTGGATGGATGAATGGATATATGGACAGATAGATGGGTGGGTGGATGGATGACTGAGTGGGTGGATGAGTGAATGGATAGATGGATGGATGAATGGATGGATGGATAGATAGATGAGTGGATGGATGGATGGATGCATGCATGAATGAGTGGATGGATAGATGAATGAGTGGATGGATGGATAGATGGGTGGATGGATGGACAGATGGATGGATGGATGGATGGATGGTTGGACAGATGGATGGATAGATGATGGATGGATGGATGGATAGATAGATGGGTGGGTGGATGGATGGGCA